TGGTTAACATTTTTTGTTTTTTGCAAAAAATGCAAGTAAACAAGGAATGTACAGGAAACTATTCAAAATGACACAAAGCCAGATTAAAATTAGTTTACTTTGAAGTTTGCAAACAGTACTTGAATCCCTCTGAATATTTGATTTGGACTTCCCCTTTGGAAACTAATTTATCTTAATACTGTATCAAACCATCACAATAGTTCTGTGAGTGTTTTGTTATTGGGGTTACGCTATATGAACACAGATAGTGTGGAACTATAAAGCAACAAATTCATAATAAAATCACCATAAGAAACACCAAGAGTTTTAGCACCTCAACAAGATCACGTGGACCTAAATCACAAGCCACTGGACTGTTTTGCAATAGATCTTGCACAGATCACATGGAGTGTCTCTGAAGAACATGTTATATTTGCTTGGGTATAGCAGTACAGGTTCCACCTGGCCCTTCCTTTTTTATCAAAATAAAAAATAAGAAGACATGCAATTATTTCACTGTTGTTTCAAACTGTACTTCCCCGTATCCCTTCGCATAGTCAACTAATTAAAAAGAGATGAGTTTGGGGTTAAATAATTTATTGAGCAGTACTTATGTGAACACATTATGATGTGTTTGCTAATGGTAGTACCCAGTTGATTCTTTTATTTTATCTAGTTATCTAGTTATCTAGTTATTCTAGTTATTCCCTTTCTGTGTAGGAAGGACTGTGTAAAATACGTTTGCAGTCCCATTGTGTGCTCCACAAATCTGAGACCATCTGTCAATGTTTTGACTCCAGAGGAATATACTGAGGTGGCAAGAGGCCTTAAGGCAGCAACTGTTGCCAGGCACCAAGATGGCTTCTTAGGAGCGCAATCTTGCTTCCTCAAAATTGTACAGAAGAGCTGAGCCTGTCAGGAGCTCAGTGAGAAGCTATACCTGCTGCACAACTTGTCTTCCTGTGCAATAGTAGTAATTATTACCGTGCTGTCAGTTCATGCTTCTCGTATTCATGATAGTGCTCGCACACTTTCGAATACATAAATACGTAAATTCAGCAAATTAGGCCGAGGCACGTTTTTGAGGGAACCAGCCATGAAACATTCATTTCACATTTAGCTTGGTGTTTGACCATTGGATTTTACATCATACGTCAAAGTTCTAATTTTGGAATCATCACCACATAAAACGAATCATTCAATTACCAATAAACCAGCTGTACGAGAGCTTGTTACGAGTCACTGTAAAAGGAAGGTAAAGCATAAAGCAATACATAAAAATATATTTGTGTTAGAAAAATCAAAACTGATGTTCTGTGATGGCTAAGTGAGATGTATGGCTCACTTGTTATGGCTCTAATTAGATAGATTTTAAACTTTGTGCTCTAATGGAACATTTATCTTTCTTAATTATAAAGGCTTTTAATGATTCTTCTGCAATTTGGAAATTTGGCTTTGACATTGCACACGGCAATCATTTTCATTCAGTAAACATCAATCATCATAAACTTGCTGATTCTTGGTGAGACCCAGGCCATCACAGGAAGCGCACACACATACACAAAAAGACACCCTTTGAAACACTGGTTAATCTAGCCTGCACATTTCTGATAAGTGGGAAGAATTCAGGGATGTTGGCAAAAACCCACATGAACACAGGGAACATGCAAACTCTACAAAGAAGGCTTTCCAGCTGGAATTAAACCCACAAACTGAAAGACAGCAGTACCAGTCACCACGCTATCATGCCAACCCTACAGTCAATATGTGAAGCATATAATAAAAACCTTGGAATTACTTTTTGCACTCTAACCAAGAACTGGAAGAACACCAGCATGTCTTCTGGTAACCAGCCATGACTCTGAGTACTAAGGCACAGAAAAATACTCACAAAATTCAGAGTAATTCCAAACCTCTCCATATTGGATTTTAAAATATTTATAACTATTTTAAAATATTGATCACCAGTTACAACAATGAGGTTCGTGAGTTTAGAGAATTAGAGGTTGAACGAATGGTAAATGAAGAATGATGTCTTTTATTTGAAAATGTGTCATGCTAAATTGTAGGAAGGACAGAGAGTGACACTTAGTTCATTATCACATTTTTTTTCTTTTTATCCATCTCATGTTATGAATATCATAAGTTGTGACTTTGCTTTTCATTACTCTGGCAAGAGTGTCATGGCATTTTCCTGTGACTAAAGAAAAAGACTTGGCGTTTTCCATTTATAAAGTGTGTAGATATGAATAACATGCTGACACTAATGTAAGCAGGTTTGTGGAATTTAGAACTGACTCCAAGAAGCCCTATGTACAAAAATATTCACTTGTAATTTTTTAATGGCAAAAGACTGACTAGATTAGATGACACCACCAAGGTTTTGACAATATATCCAAAGGCCTTTTTGCACATTTGACAGTGTCCATTTCAAGCTAAGCTTTTTTAAAAGTTGGTTTAATTTAGGTATGTTATCAATGATCTTTTTTATTCCCCTGATATTTAATTTAGTGTCTGATTTCACACTGCCTTTGAATTTGACTTAAGGGATCACTTTTGCTTTTTTGATTTAGAACAGGGATTTTCAAAATAAAGTGTTTCCTCTTCCAACACGTATACAATCCCCTGACAATCCATTTCCTCACTGTGGATGTATTGTATATCCTTTTTTTCAGGCATGCTACAGAAAGGTGTGTTAAGTCCTGAATAGTCCATTTAGCGCTCACAATCCCTGCTTGAAGTCTGTGGTTATAGATTACAATTACAGAAGATTTTACCTGCTAGGAAAGTTGTAGAGCCCTGACAGATATAAACTGTCTACAATAAATTGAGGTGCTTATTGCTTTGAAAGTTCCACCATAAATTCCCAGTTTGATCCAGAGAAAGTGCACCTCTGATGGAAGAATCGATTTCATTTAGAACTCTCATCAACAGAGCTTTCAAGCTGACACAGAGTCACAGAGAGCCATAAAGCTGTGCAATGAGTGTTTTTAGCTACTGAATGAAATCTTGGATTAAGAAAAAAACATCTAAAGAAAGTATCAGACTAAAAGAAAACCCACTGTGGCACTCTTTAATTTTTATATAGGGTCTTTGGCCTCAATAACATTCTAGTATAAAACTATTTTTCTCTCCAGATGTTAGTGTTTGAACAGCTGCAATTCTTTTTAGAAAGTAACTTTTAATTCTTAAGAAAAAAAGTATTTGACTCCCTGACATAATCTGTGATGTTAGTTTTAGCTGTCAAAATTAATTGCTCAACAGGAAAATCATACTGTATTTATAACCTGCTTAGGAACAGGTCATATAAAGTACAAATAAACTTTATTTAGCAATGCTGCTAATAGCTGTTTAGGTGAAAATATTGTAAAGAGTATGTGATAGTTTATGAATAGGTGTTTTTTTAATAAAATTCTGATTATGTGGAAAAAGTGTTTCTGTTGAAAATACCGTAATTTATCTCCGTGCTTAAGCACCTTACTGATGCTCAATGATATTTTCATCTTCCATAGTCAGGAATGGTCTGAGCTGTATTTGAGATTAAACCACTTAATCTTTAATTATAGGTTTAGAAATTCATGTCTGCCATTTCAAAAAGGTATTAGAATAAAGAACTTTTTATATAGCAAGAAATGTAATCAGGTCTTAATCTCCTTAGCTGACTGACTTTTCATTGAATCTAGGCAGAGCCACTTCAAATGTGTAAGACAATAAATTATTAGAATCCCACAGGACAACAACTGGGCAATAATCCAGTACATAAAGGTTAACATACTTTCATTGACAGACAAAACAGTCATTTCTAGATTTTAAAATTTGTATGTTAACATTTTTATTCTAAAAGACAGAAGCTTTGCTACACATAAAACTCTTTACCAATACAAAGTGCTCACATGGCTATTCAGAAGGTGGTGAGGGGATTGGAAAAATGGACAGGCCAATTTTTGTGTTTTGCTCTGATCGCTGAGACGGGCAACTCTCTTTTCATGCTCGCAATTTAAAAGGGCATTTTTATAAGCAGCAGACTTAAGCTGTTTCCTTGAACCAGATCATCCCACTTCGGAAACTGCTTTGTTACAGCCCTAGTGATGTGCCTGACAATCTTGGGATGCAAAACATAATGCGAGAACAATTGAAGTATGGAAATGGCAGCTCTCAAATTGGCATCTCATTTGAATAGATTTCAGATTTTAGCACTGTCTCGAAGGAATTACTGGAAAGACAGATCATAAAGGAAAGCATGAAGTTGCATACAGTTAAGAGGGACACAGATCCTTAGATCAGGTATTTGGCAGAATATCTGTTATTTACAGTCCAGGATGGAGTACTAAAGTTACACTACCTTGTACAGTACTTAAAAGCTGGAGGGAGTTTCTTGCATAGAAAATTCGATTTTAGAAATTCCCGGAAAATGGATTTAAAATGACCAGAAAGTTTTATAAATGGAATTGGGATCATGTGTAAGACAAAATGATCTAAGGATACTATGCATGGAAATTGTCAGAAAATTATAAAAAAGGCTTTTGTACACTGTCCTGTGGAGTTTTAAAGCAATAGGTTTTTTGAAGGTAAAGGTAAAGGTGAGCAGATTGAGATTTAGATGCCTTAGACATTTAATTAAGAGGTGCACCTAGATGAAGTGGGATTTCACCTTTCGTGTAGTAATTTTACCATTATCAAACTAAAATTTCTTAGATTAAAGAGGAGAAAATGAAAGTTAATAAGGGCTATACATCTTTAAAAATGTAAGCATCACGTCTTTTATTACACAGAGCATATAAATACCGTGGTTGAAATACCTCTGCAGTTACATTCCTAAATGGTGAATTGAGAATTTGAAATAATTGTATAAATATGTTTTTCAAATATTATAATAATAATATTGACATGAAAGAGTAACAGGACCCCTACTATGCATGAACTATTCTCATAGCAGTACTTTATTTTAGCATAAGAAAACCTATTGTATTGACTGTACTTGCCTGCTGGGATGTCTAAATGAGTTCTTTTACTTTCCCTAGCACTGATACTTCAAGCTGTCAAGCGTACAATGCAGATGAAAGGAAAATGGAGCTGACAGACGTAACGGAGAAGACCTCAGACAGAAATGGATGTATCCAACCTCGGGATCGAAAGCACACCAGCCATCGCAGATCATGCAGGTGAGCAGGTCCCACTCGGGTTACAAAAAGAACACAATGACGCAGAACTGAAGCAATCAGCTTGCTTTTGCTCACATTAACTTGTTTTTCTGTCTTAAGGTGAATCAATGCTTTGGTTAAGTCTTTCCCAAACTAAAATATAAGCTTTATTGTGCCTAAATGTCAGTCAGTCACCTTTTATTTAACTACAGGCATTTTCAGGGTGGATGTTTTTAAAAAATAAATTATGCTATGTAGGAGGTGCACAGAAAGCTATCAGCAGCACATTTGAATAAAAACATGATCTTGATATTAACACCACTGATACAGGACCAAAGACACAGCATTTTCAATTGTGTTCATGAAGCAAGACAGACAAGTTGGCGCTGTTTATAATAAAGAGGTTTTGTGAAGCTAACTTCTCCAATTATTTCCTTTTATTTGAAAAAGCTGGCAGTTCAAGAGATAGCCAAAGAAGTGAGCTTGATGTTCAGCCTAGGATATTTAGAAACAAATCTAGTTTCCCTTCTTTATAGGCACTTATGATCATTTTGGAGCACATCTGTTTCCTAGGCAGGTCTAGAAAACAGAAATCATTCTGAAAGGAAAGATCCAGTGACAAGCATTCCGTCTTAGTTTGGGAAAGATTTGTGTGCAAACGTGACAAATTTACCGTTGGATTTCATACTTTCACCATGGTTTTACTGCAATTTGTGCATGCATTTTTTTTGTGGTTGCCTGTGGTTTGAGTTTGTTTTTACTCTGTTTCATTACACTGGATAATTGTATTTAATTCACTTGCTCTTTTCATCCAATTTTTATTTTCCAAACCATCCGGTTCATTCGTTAGGCAGGTCTGCTGTTTGAAAATGGTGAAGTGAAATCAACACAAGGCCGTTTCTGAAAGCCAGGACTCTGAGTGCAGTGAAGCAGTATACCCTTCCGAAATGTGTTACCACACATGTCAGCCAGAGACAGAAAAAGTAATGGCATCCATTAGAAAAGTGTTTGCTAGAGCATTGCCCTCAAGGTCAAACAACTGAATACAGAAGGCCAAAGTCGAAGTATTTCTGACACAAGACCATTATATTTAAGGAACAAATGAACAAGAGTGCCTGCCTTTAGCAGCATGTTGCTCATTGAAGACACATAATTGCAGACAACGTTGTAACATTTGCTAAACCTTCACTGTGCTTTCCTGCAAAAACAATAGATTTTCATTACATTCTTTTTGTAGATGTCTTCAATCTGGCTGTGAAACAGCTTGCTGCAGGAGTGACCCTTATACCTCCTATAACTCAATTTTTTTAAATAAAGCAATCTAATAAACAATGGATTAAAATTATCCTGAATGTGCTGCAAGTAAATAGGGATTTCCGGGTATTTCCACTACTGGCTCCTGGATATGAGAAATGTGTGCTAATCCATTAAAAGAAAAAGGCTATGAAAAAAGAAGATTTTCTTTAGGTTGACAAACACTATGATATTTGTATCATTAGGATAAGGGCAACTTCTGCTGTTTACAAAATTCTGTAAATCCAGCATTATCATCATTAATTAAATTGAGTCTGAAAACCAAACTAAAGGCTCCATGCTTTACACATCACTCAATTCCCAGTATTATTGTATTGCTAACATGAGAAATAACAAATAATATCAAAGGGAGCATTTGGTCAACCACTTTCTATATATCAATATATAGTAAGCAAATATACAACAGTAAGTTCTTTCTTTCAAATATAGGGTTTTGTCTTGGAATGTACTTTATTAGAAATCAAATGGGATCAGGCAGCTAGAACATTTTGTAGTTTAGTGTGAATTTCATATCATCCTCACCTTAACACAAGTATCTTTTAGAAACCTTCCCAAATGTGTACTATGGTAAATGGTAAATGAGTACATTATTTCCAAACATTTTCCATGGCTTACCATGAATGTCCCTTGAATTACAATGGAGGGTTGGCTATGATCTTATCATTATTTCATTGTGCTCTGCATTTCTCTTTTACAGCAGTCAATAAGAGATTAAAGTTTAGAAGCTGAAAATGCAAATGAGAAATTGGTTGATTATCATACTGAGAGATGGATTTTCAACAACTGCCCTCTTTGTTTTCCATTGTGTGTGGCTCAGGCATGGAAACTGCAATGCCTCTTTTCCAAATCACATTTTTTAATGTAGTAAAAGACATTTAATGAAGATTTAATGGCAAAGTCTGTATAAAACAGCAGAAATGCAAAGGCTTAAATGGAAAAAGCATTTTAATAAATGAACATTAACAACAAATCTACATTTTTGCCAATAGACCTCTGTAATGCATTTCAGCTGTTAATGTTCAATACGCATTTTCCACAGTTATTTTACTGACCTTTCAAATATGATATTCAAATAGCCGTGTCTGGTTTTAGAAATAGAGAGTTCTGCAACAATCTAGACAACATTTCAAATAGTAGAACAATGCAGTTTTGTGCGGTCATAAAACACAGCCTCTTTGGAAGATCCATTGTCAACCTCAGACATTGGTTATAATAAAACAGCTCCACTGTAGTCCTTGAGTCATCTGAGATCATAAGAAGTGTTTTTGATTGCCTGTCAAGTTTTTTCTATTGTTCCTATTTTGCGCTTGAAATCATATTTATACAGATATGTTCACAATCAAAAGCAAAGGTGTAGTTGTATGAATATGGATCACTGTGTTCCGCTGTGTTTAGAGAAATGTGTACAAGGTTTAGGAATGAATCAGAGACCTTGAAGAAAACATGCAGTAGTTATGAGTAGTTCACATGATTTAGTTTTGTCTGTTTCTTCTGCACTGGAGGTAATTGTTATCATTATCAGCTAAACTGAGTGTTATTTGGCATGGGGCTTTCAGCTTTCAGTCTTTGTGAGGAAAAGGCTCTTGGGGGTTAGATGGGTTCTAAAGGTTGCGTGAAGGAGATCAAGGAACATGACAAAACAGATAGCTTGGGAGATTCTGAAGTATTAAAAAGGGACAAAAATCTTTTGATCAAGCTGAAAAAAAAATTGTAAAGGACTGTATTTTTCTCTTTCTTTTCACTTCAGTTAAGGTAACAAGTCTGAAGCCTTCACAGTCTCACCTTCTTTATGCCACAAATTGCACAGATTTTAGACTTATTCTGGAGCGGCAGATAAGTCAATTAAAGAATAATCCTGATTTAATAGAATGAAACTCTTTTCCACAAGTAGCTGCTTTTCTGGCTTCCAAATAATCTCCGTGTAATCCTATTATCTCTTTTTTTCTTTTTGTTTAATAAACATCAGATAACCTACATAACAGGAATTTTTTGTTGTCCTTGAAATTGCTGATCATTCAGAGAATAAAACGTTTATCTTTCATGTCCATTCTTATGTTGCTTAAAAATAGAGCAAAATGAATGCTAAGGACCACAATTCGATTACGGAAGTAAAAGAGAGCTTTCTAAAATACTTTATTACATATTTGGTGGTTACCATACTTTTCATATAGAGTTTATGGAGCCCAAATTCTACGTGTATTTTTGCAGTGTAAATCTGTCACTCCTTCTTCTACACAAGGAGGTCTCTGTAGTTGTTTTTAATATTGGTTCTTCAATCAAATTCCCCCTCCTGATGTCTTCACATTTAGAGATATATTTACTACACAGTGCCTCCATAAATGTTCAGTGACTCCTACCTAATTCAGACCATCTAATTTAATCTTTTCAAAACACCCTCTTCAATTTTCATGATAACACTCATTTTCTACCTCATTATTGCCTGAGTGATGCTGTCCAAATGAATTGTGGTTAAAGGCCCCTTCTTGCATATCTTCGCTACCTGAAAGGCCAATTTAATAAGGCTGAACTGCTTCAAAGGGCTTCATCCTCACCGGGCATTCAGGGAGTGCAAATGAAGTGGACCTTTAGAGATTGCAGATCCAGTGGAACAGATGGGATTTGACAAGAGACTCATTTCAATATTGACAAATTTAAATACACAGAACAGAATTAGCATATCAGCAGCGAGAACACACAACCTGCTCTTCAGCAAAGCAAAAAAAATGTGAGGAGTTTCTGTTCAGATTCCATTGCCTTAAGGTTCAGCATCACCACAGCAAGGAAGAGGAAACGACTTGCATTCCATGGGGTCATTGGAAAAAAAACCTAACTGTGAAATAAAGGGGTTGTATGTCAACCAGACAGTATATCTGCTTATAGGTTTACTCATTCTTGAGCCAATCATTTTGCCTGTAATGCATTTCAAAGGTATTAACATTAAGCAAAATAAAACTTTTTGGAAACTGAGGCATAACCGCTGTCTCTGAAAGCAAATTCCATTTTCAAACAATTTTGAGAAAACATTCAAATGTTGATAAAATGTGTCAGTGAGCCACAATGTATTAAAAGGTTATTACAAATGTATTAAAGTTATTTACAGTTTTGCTTTGTATATAGTTTTTTAACCTTATTAAACGTGGAAGAATAACATAGTATTTATCACGGAACCACCATATTCTGATATTATAGATATATCATATCTCAGGGTGTCAGTTCATAGATCCATAGCTATTGCAAAAACAACATCAGATATACAAAACTCAGTCTGCTTTCTTTCAGCCTGCCTGTTGCTGATGATCTGTCTCCCCGGCCTGCACCCAAAGGGAAAAAGAAAAAGAAGAAATCAGAACGAAAGAAAAGAAAGAGGTCAGTTACTGAAACATTTATTACGTCTATTACAATTGTTTTGTCAAGTGAAAATTGACTTCCAAGCCGCATTAAATATAAATGATCCGTAATGGGTTCTGGATTACATTTTTGTGGGATGGATCTATTCACTTCATACAATCTATGAATCTGTGAAAAAAGGAAAGCACTTACTATGAAAACATTCTTCCTGTTAGGTCTCCATCCTACAGTCTGTCACCTGTGAGGAAGAAGAAAAAGAAGAGCTCAAAGAAAAGAAAAAGGAACAGGTGATTTCTTAAACCCAGTGTTTGTCTGTTTTCAATTAGGGATCATATCTTAATAACTGAACCATGCATTTTTATAGTACCACTTGACATAAAACACTGTATTCTACATTTTGTATGTCTTTCAACCCTAATTAAAATGTACAAGCTTCCACAAATATGAGCATTTAAATTAACGTTACTTTTTAGATTTTTTAAATCCGAAATGTATATTTTCAAAAACTTCTTATTAATAAAGTGGACACAGTGCATACAGTATGTTTACTTACTGTATACAGTATGTTTTATGTATTTAATAGGAGATTGTATTTTTCATTCTGCAGGTCTTCATCAAAAAAGAGAAGGCACAAGTAAGTGTTATATTTTATGCTTTTAAAGCATAAATGAATCCAAACCACTCTCTATTCAAAAGTCTCAATATCTTTTTCTTCTTTTGCTCAGTTCTTCAAGCCCCAAAAGTAAAAGAAAAGATGAGAGAAAGCATAAGAAAAGGTAGGCTCTTGTGATTGTTGTATTATACTAAAGGGAAGACTTGCACAGAATGAAGAGAAAAAAAACATCATTGAGAAAGTTAAACAAAAACAAATCTAAAATGCATAAAATATATTGTGGATGATTTTTTAAAGATGCTACAAATAAGCATTGGGTCACTTCAAAATGTATGCAATATTTATTTATGCCTAGGCTTAATATTTTGCAGAAGTCAATAGAGACAAGTATCTTTCGTTTTTTGCAGTAAATATCAATATACATATACATATTACACAGTAATATACACGCTTAGCTATTCAGTAACTGTAAGTACAGTACCATTTTCTTGCTGTCAGTTAAGAAACGTGGAGACACAAACACCAAATGTATCAGTGTAAATGACCAGTGAGAAACATTTTAGTAGATTATGATTTGATTATGAATTTAAATTCTGTTAAATTGTTGTGTAGGTTTGTGGAGCATAAACATAGACTCCCGACAGTAAAAGTATATTTTTCCCATGAACATCTTGTTCTCATTCCTGACAAGACTTCTCAATGAATGCCGTGTATGACATTCACACTTGTTTCAGTCTGCACTGATGTATCCAGATACACAGTCTCTAATGAGACATTCAATCACATTTACACTCCATCAGTCAATGATGCTAAACTCCTGGGTCATGGTACCTAAAACACGACAGGACCATATTATTGCCTTTCACAAGACGTGAGCTTAATTGTGTAGTCTGGGAATACATAACTGCTCTCCTCGTTACAAACTACTCCATTATAGAACTGCCTGGCTTTCTATAGCAATACTCATTAACCCATACTGTGTTTCATTTAACATATTATGACATTGTAAATCAGAATTGTTGCAATGCCGTGAACAGCTGTAGTAATGGTGAAAAAAGACAGATTTTTTGTCCAATTTACAGATTCTCATAATTATTTGTTACCCATATTTATTTACTTTCAAATATCCCATAATTCAGAGCATGCACGGCCTGTTCCTGCTAAGATAATTGGGTTCATGAGAAGCTGTGAAAAATCATCTCATAATAGGATTACATGTAAGCAATTACACATGGGTCCTTCTATTACACTGCCTCCAGTGCAATTAAAGAAAAATGGCTTTGAGACTATAATTTGTTACTTCATTTAAACTCATTTAAATGAAGACTTATGTTGGAGACAAAACAAATACATGGTTAATAATCATACATAATATACATTCTTCTTTATTTGGTCTAAAACAAGTGTTTCCGTCACTGGTTTGCCTTATTCTGCTGCTGGATTCCCTAAGGAATAATAATAAGGTGGGTACAAATTATGCACTAGCACACAGCAGATCAGGTGGAGCAGTGAGAAATTGTTTCACCAATTGAATTAAGGAGGAACTTTTAAGGAGGTCAAATTGAACAAGCCCACAGAGGAATCTATTCCTGTATTTATTTGGATTGTACCTGGTTAATCAATAATAATAATAATTAATAATTGCTTACTTATATAGAGCTTTTCTGGACACTCCACTCAGAATGCTTTACAGGTAATGGGGATCCCCTCCACCACCACCAATGTGCAGCCCCACCTGGATGATGCAAAGGCAGCCATAGTGCGCCAGAACGCTCCCCACACATCAGCTATCAGTGGGGAGGAAAGCAGAGTAATGAAGCCAATTCATAGATAGGGGATTATTAGGAGGCCATGATTGGTAAGGGCCAATGGGAAATTTGGCCAGGGGTTTTTAATGACCACAGAGAGTCAGAACCTCAGTTTTATGTCTCATTCACCAGAGAAATGTCAGTGAGGCATCCTACAACAGCAGCTTCCCACTTGAGATTTCAATCCCTGACTCTCCAGTCTGAAAACCAGAGTTTTAACCACTACTCCATACTGCTAAGAAAGGCATGGCAATGCATTGCTAAGATATGCTGCATTGCTAAGAGTGGGTGTTAGCAAGGATCCCAGGGTTAACACCCCAACTCATATGAAAAGTGCCATGGAATCTTTAATGCCCCATCTCAGGATCTCAGTTTAATCCAGGAACAACACCATCTTTAGCACAGTGTCCACTGTCAACATTGTGGGGCATTGGATTGCAAATTCTTGCCCAGAGGGAAGAAGGCTATATCAGCACCACTCCTTACAGCAGCAACAATGAGTCTCTTAGAAGTCTCTCATCCCAGGACTGACCAGAACCAGCCTTACTTAGCTTCTTTGACTTAATGAGATCAAGCTAGACGGTGGTAATGCTGCTGTATGTGAGCACTCCTCATGTCTCAACCTCCAGCTGAAACACACTTTCCACCAGGTGACATGAGCTAAGTAAAGCAAGAGAAGGATGACCTTAAAGGCAATTTTCTGTTTGCAAACATGAGGCAGAAAATTGTGTGTGCTCTTGCTTAACGAACATGTTCTTAATTAAATTAATCTTTTTTTTTGTTGTCACTGCCTTTCTACACAAAAGCAAAAGTAACTTCACGTCCTCAAGCCTAGCTTCTCAGACTGCCTTAAAATACACAACCTGTCTCTCCGTCTTTGTAATAGGCCAAGATCTATGATGGAGTATAAAACAGCATAAGGTGTGACTTGATACAGTATATGTTTGGTTATTTGTTTCAGAGATAATGAAATTGGAGAATTTATCATTCTGATTTAGATATTAATTATGGTTAAAACTGAAGGAAACCTATAAGCAAACCTCACTATAGCTGGTTTCCCCTTGCAGGGGTATTTTTATTTTAAAAGCTTTTCATATAAACCCTAACCCATTGTATAGATTTCGACTTCAGTTTGTTTTCACTCAGTTGGAAAAGCTTTACTAACGTTTTAAATTAAGATCCAAGATCTTCCTGCATAGAAAAAAAGGGTATAGCTAATCTAAAAGGGAGTGATTGACCTAATTTCCATTACAAACTATCAGGAGCTGCAGAACATGCTGTTGGTGATCTGAGCTGGGGAAGTATTCCCTGTCTAGCAAGACAAAGTTACCTACTGTATATTGGATTCAACTGTGAACAGTAGGCAGGCTTAATGACATGGATAGCATTCCTTAGATAGACACTGTGCAGTACAGGCACAGTCAGTGCTCCATGGCAGAAAGCCAAAAGGTAAATATACTGTAGGAACACTCTGAGAGAAAGAAACCAATTTCACACTGTAAGACTGCAACATTCATAATCCTCATGAGTTGAACTGTGTAGTGCTTCTAACCTTACAGGGAAATTGTGTAGGTAAGCCAAGCCTGAAGACGGTTTTAATAGTTTCTAATGTTACTTGTTTGTATAGGAAACTTACAGCCTTCATCTGATTTCATTTCCTTTTTTCTCAAGTAAACAATGTTTCAAGAAACTGTTCACTCTGCAGAAAGGATGTGAGAATATAAGAAAAGGCCACAGTGTAACATGTTATGGCTAACCTTCGGAAAAACAGCACAGTTGCTTTTAAATACAACCATATTCTGTATTGTATATACAGTAGCAAGGTGCTAAAGACATAACCCAAGGTGAGATACAATGATTTTATAGCTCAAGCTAATATCCACATTCAATAGAAGCAATATTGAATTACTCATAATAGCTGTGCAGAAATGACTTGGAAGTCAATGTCCTCAGTGCTGCCACCTGTCCCGCTCCGGTCTCGGGTCAGATCATCATTCTTTCTCATGTCTCACGTCATGGCCAGGTCTCGGAGTCATACACACCGGAGGCATCATCGTCGGAGGTCAGAGTCGGAGAGCTCTGCTTGGCGTTCCTCCAGTAATGAAAGCAGGTAGGAGAAGAGGGAACCCTGCCTCTCTTATCTTTAGACAGCTTGTTTCTGCTCTACTGATGACTGATATGGGAAAGGTCACGTAGAGAAATGTGAACAAGTACTACACCGTCCATAACTTTTAATCTGCTGCACCAAAGGTTCCTGCTTGAGGCTCCAAATGTGAAGTCTCACATTAGTTGAGGAAGAAATTAAACTGAATGAAGAACAAAAGGCATGTACTGCATCAAATCAGTTTTTTTTTAATTGTTGCGGGAATCTTTTTCTAATTCACACTCAGCTAGTGGAATAAATCTGTGTCACAGAAAGGCATTCACCAATTAAAGAGCTAGAAAAATCAAAGAATTTATTTATCACGAAACTGTGTTAACAAATGCAAGGCCATTTACTTGCCTCATGTGGAGAACTGTGTGCCCTTTAGCCAAATGAGTAAGAAAAAGCATAAAAATGCTAACAAATAACTGGACACTATTCACACCATCTACTGTAACTCGCTTGTTTGTTTTTTTCAGGAGATAATTGATCTCATCCAGTCCTTGTTTGAAAGAAGCCAGGGCTCAGCTTCAACAACATGGCTGGGCAGCTTGCTCCTTACTGCCACAAAAAAATTGGTGTTTTTCATAAGAGATTTGAATGAGCTGAAGCTGCAGATGATAGCTTTTAAATCCCTCATGATCTTTCTGTTGTTTGGACTTTCCATGGGACAGCTGGCATATAAATGTACTGTAAACTCTGCATGACTTTGCACTGATAGTAATGCATTGACAGGGCCTATTGTTGAGAGAAAATAGGAATCTATTTGCTTTTGGACACGATACATATGACAGGAAAATGTTGATTTTAGAACCATTTTTAATTTGCCACTATGCCAATATGCACATTACGTTAAAACATAAATCTGAGGAACGTAAGCCAAGCCAGGCTTTTCAGACAAAGTGTATTAAATATTTTACGCATTTGTCTTATAATTGTTATTGTGCTTTTTTACATGATGTTACGGCTGCTGAGTCTTTGTGACAGTTATGGCAGTCTGGTAGCCCGCAGCACACACTGAGAACATCTGATGGTTTTTTTCTCGAGCCTTAGTTTGCACGTGAAAAAGCTTTGCTCTTTTTGTTCCTGTGACCAAAATCTATTTTACTTTGCTGTTAGGAAAAAGGCTACAGCAGCTGGTTCTGACCAATCTTCTTCCCTGTAGCACTCTCTTATTCTATTTACTGGAAATCAGCATGAGTGACAGTTCCCATAGGGGAGTCAGTCATGATTTTAGCATTTGTCGCAAACATAGGAAGAGACAAAATTTGTGAGGCTTCTTTCAGAATATCAAAGGCTTAGCCAGGTCTTAAAACACTTGGGAACTTGTTTCATTGGTTGATCCTACAAAATTGTGAATACAAATAAAATAAAGGTTTTTCAAATCCTTTAAGGCATTTGCTTTTCAGTATGGAGTGGATTTTAGAAGCCTGAAAAGAATTCAAGTGCTAATTTTACATGGAAATGTGGCCAAGGCACTGAGATGAGAATGTCCAGAAGCAAAGTCCCTGCCACAGGCAGTAAAATTGGACCAAGGCTGAGGACATTAAGGGCTGTAAGAGAGGAGCTTGCAGAGGAAGACGAACGAGCAGTTCAAATTGAAATATTTTCAGTATATCCTTAATTCGTGATATGCGTGACATAAATTATTTTACAAAAATTGAGTTATATCTTTAAAACCCCAAGCAAGTTAAAACACTATGAATCTACTATTGTTATAATTAGTCAGGCCCAAACTATGGCTTAGACATTTTCTTTTTAGAAAGCAAAAACTATTTTAATGTCTCAGTAATTGCTTTGCAGCAATGGGATCAGGGTCCAAACATTTCACAGCCTTGAAACTGACCTGTTCAGAGCTGAGCCATATAGTTAGAATTTTGGCTAGCTGGTGAAATTAAGTAAGCCAGGGAGTCTTTAGTTTATACATGGGACCTTAGTGCCCTGCAAGGCAACTGAGCTCAAATTGATGAGAGCTGAATCTATTCCTCTGATGCCCTAGCTCTGCTGTAGGCATTTGCTGTCAAAAAGGAGTAGCTGGCCTGAGAGGGTGCATTTCAAAGGACACGTGTATATTGTTTATCATCTCTCCTCAGCCATCAGTACAGCAACTGCCTTTCCACATCAAACATATTCTTGTCCACACTACTCACCCACATGGTTAGCTTGCCACTGTCATCTTTACTGTATCTCCTGAACTGAAAAACAAAGTCAATCTTTTTGACAGAAAGTGTTGTTGTTGTTTTTTTTTGTTGTTGTCGTTGCTTCCTTTAGATATAGATACAGATCTGCTGAGCGGTCAGCATCCAGGACTTCAGACAGATCCCACGTCTCCAGAGAAACTACACAAACTACACAAACACCTGCAGACCAGAGCAGGTCGGAGTGGATTAAGGCAGCGAAATCAGATTGTAAAACTCCTCTGAACTACTGCTCCATCTCTTCGGATGCCATCGTAAGTGTCCCTTAAATTATTAATAGGTCACTAATATGATAATACATTTTTATTGAATCTATTAAGGCCAAGTTAAACAAAACTGGTTTATCCCAATATTACATTATACTGCCTCATTGCATTATTAGAAGAACTAACGGTCAATTATTGGCACAAAAATTACAAGTTCTACAGTTCTTTGTCTTCTGCAGTCAAATGTGATCAGACATTTTTAAATTGTTATGGCTTGCTTCTGAACCAAAAAGTTCAAATAATGTGAATGCAAAATGCGTTCTTGTTGAACACTAGTGCTGCCTAACAGACATTTAGACTGAAAATGGAATTGAGTATATATGTGTGTAGGAACAAAAAAATCTAAAATGCCAAACCAGGCTTGAAAAACAATTATTTTTAAAGGTCTCATAATCACTTTTTGAATGCACATATCCAAAGCTCAGTAGAATAGTTAGTCTATAGCATATGCAATGTTAACTAAATGCAATTTTTAGGAGAAAATAAAACCTTGTCATATTCTTATAATGCCTCCATTATGTCAGTTGTAATTCCAATGAATTAAAACCAGCTTCAGAAATCTGAATCTAATATTCAGAAATATCATGCAAATAATAGAAACTTTTTATGATGTGATATACAGTAACGCAAAGCGAATGACATATTGTCATTCGCTGTAGAAAGAAATAACATGGAAGGAAGGGCACAGTAAGGTACTGTGCATTTTTATAGCTGGTTTTGAATGGAGATTTACTTGCTGTTTTGATGGTGTTAAATCAGTTTTACATCCCTTTACATTATTTTTTCAACTAAGATCCTCTGTTCTACTCCTTTCTGTTGTATATTATCTGTTTTCATTGAGTAAACTGAGTAAATACTTGTTTGTCAATACACTATATATGCCTAAAAAGCAGGGGTTAAAGACATCGCTCCTAATTTTATATTGAAGCTTAAATCAGGGTGAGCTGGCTCATACTAGGACTAGTCATTGTTTTAGTAGCCTTGGTACTCAATAGAAGATTTTAATGTGATCTACAAAATGTAAATAAAGTCAGTGTGTGTGTTCCAAGGGAATGCAACTTTTAGCAATCATGCTGCAAACACTAATTTAATAAGGCAGCATTGGTAAAGAAATAATAAGTTATCTTTCTTGTTCTGAACAGACATAAATTAAGGAATTAACAAAAAATATTTACTTTGTCTATTTAACTTCAATATTTTAAATAAACAAATAAACAGATTGTCTTTATTTCTTATGGGGATAAATACATTGGAAATGTACAGTATACACAGCATATGATTAATTTTTAGATGAACCAAATTAGTTATTTTACCTTTTATTGAGTATAGTAATTTATGTTCACTCTTTAAGTAATGCTCACTTTTTGTCCCAAACATTCTGCTGAATAAAGTAAAATTGTAACCAGCTTCTAATAACACAAGGCACAGCTACTGTGAATAGAATAATGTGAACATATTAGTAAAAAAAAAAGTAAACTTACATTCTGCTGAATGGTTCAAAAACATATGCATTTAATTATTAAGCAATATGTACAAACTTATAATATAAATAGTGATGCAATATCTTTGTTATTTTTGGTGGCTTTTACTGCATTAAGAAATGACACTGTCCAGTGAACCATTGCTCGGTATAAGCTCGGTGAAGCATGAAAGACTTTTAATTCCTTACCAACAATCATTGAATTATGCTAATCTTTCCTTCAGATGCTTGATTTTAATCACAAAACACAGTGTTCCTCATTTTAGTCTTATTAGTTATACATCTGAGCATTCAATATTTCAAATTTAGTTTTTACAGCAATGTACGATTTTGGGTACTGTATATGATAATCAGTTTGCCCTTAATGTCAGTGCACTACACCAGACTTGCCCTTATAATGAATACAATTATATTTCAAAGTGAATTGAATTTATACAGAAAGAGTAACAGGCCAGTATTAATGTAATGATATTATAACCTAGAACAAATACATGAACATTTCTCTGTATTCTGTATCCTACGTTCCTGCATTAACAACATGTAAGGTTATAGTCAGAATTGGTTGTTGATAAATATAATTGAAAGGAAATACATTGGTGCCCTCACTTTTTTCAAAAGGAGTCAATCAATTACCATTCCAGTATGTTTCAGATGGCTGACCATACCCTGTAGAGAATGTTCAAGATGTCCAGACCATAAAGATATGTTTAGATTTATTTCAGCAGAACTCGATTTGTACTGAAATCATCCATGATTTCAGTTCTTGTTATTTCCCATATTATCAAAGTTTCAAAGAAATGTGAGTTTGTAAAAAAGTCTTCAAGCAAATCTTAAGTTGTTATGTAGCAGTAATTAAATGTTCATGTTTTCATTTTTCTTTTATTTTTGTTCAATCCAAATTCGGTATTTTTTTATATTTCCTTTTCTAATAAAGCATTCCAAATGAATAAGGGAAAGGTGGGTATTGTTCTAAATTAATAAAAAGTGCAGGTTTAATGCAAGTATGATTAGAAATTTAGATGTTTGTACATCAGTGGAAATATGCCCACTTACAGTAGCTGTGAAACATTTCTGCAGATTTAGTTTAACTGGGTTATTTTTTCTAAGTGTTTATTTTTTAAATGGACTGTTACAGAATGCTGTTTTGGTTGTGACTGCCCTAGAAGGACTAAGGTGGTATGTGTCTATGTGCCACTAGGATACCAAATATACCGTAACTAAGTGCATTTTAATTATCTGAGAACAAGGGTGTCTAATTGGTCTGTTAGTTCAGACTGCAAGGAAAGCAAAACGTTAAAAAATGACTAAGGAAAAGATACTCACTGGCATAATTGAGTATTTTTCAGTCAGATAAACCAGAAAATTAGAAGTGTTCCTGTTAATTAATCTGACATTTTTCATTCTCCAAATCCGATTTAAACTAAAATTGCTTTGAAAAATAATAATCTAATGAAATGGCTTAAAAATACCAATTGATGAAACAGACATCATCTTTTCCTTAGCCTGTCCTGGAAGAATGCATGCCTAGATTCAAGGATAAGTAAAGGAAATGGGGTCAAAAGGTTTCTTGGCAAGAATTTAACCAAGTAGCCTGTTTCTTTCTTCAGATTTGAATGGTCTTCTATACAATTGAGGGTGTTAGTTTCAGGTCTAAGGAGAAAGAAAGTTCATATTCAGGACCTTGATAAATCCATAGCAGTACTGTGCCAGTTGCTCTTTTAATTGCTTGTAGCTGCACAAACTTTTGCTACAACAAAATGGCCAGGTATCGGTGGTACGATCCTGTTCCTAACCAGCAAAATGAGCCCATTGGTTTTAGAGAACACGTACTGTAGATTTACACTGAACTTTCCGCCTCAGATACAAAACCCTATTCAAGTCACCTTGTCCTGACCTGTCAGAATGGAACAAATAAAGTCATTCCTGAAGATAAGACACCAATAACAGCTCCTTGTCTAGATGATGCCAAAACCTTGAAGCCCAGGACACCAAACAGACACTAAACACCAAGCAGAATATGTAAGCCAGAGGGAAAAGGCAACCCTTCACCATCACAAAGTTTTGGAAGTGCCAGACTGTTCAACCCCCTCCCCCTACCACAAAAAGTCACGCAAAACACCAAAAGACACCCACACATGCTCACACAAATGCAGACCTAAGGAAACAGCAGAGTGCTAAAAGAGGAGTGACCCAGGGGCTTTGAAGAGAGGGTTATTGTCTTTTTCTTGTCATTTACGACTCTGATGATGCACTCACGTTGCACGCTCTTCCCTTTTTCTTACACCTTACCTACTTAAGGAGGAAATCTTGATTGGTAAGTCGATGCTATCCGCAGATCTAGGGATTTATCTTAGGTCGCTGGAGAGAAATTTCTTCTGACAGGGGAAAAAAAAAAGCACAAAAAGCTGTACCCTTCTGAGGGCTTTTAGTTAGACTGATGGAATATTTATTTGTTTGCAATTCTTTTTATTTGTACATAATACCCATTTTGTGATGTTTGTTCAATGTCCTTTTAAAAACCACGCTTTACTGGGGCTTTGCTTTTCTTTCTTTTCTCTCTTTCTCAAAATTAAGTAGTACGTAGTTCTATTCACACAACTCTTTTTCTTTCCTTTGAACGTTAATCTTTGGTTGTTCCCTTCTTTTCTTTCTGTTCAAGGTTTATTTGGACTTACACTTTGTTTTGGTTATCTTTTAATATTTTTACTTTCTACATTGTTCGCATGCTATAAATTTGCATGATGTCTTAATCTCTCCAAGTTTTCCTGTCCCGAAATTCAATTTTTTCTCTGTGTTGAGTAGGGAAATACATGCCTTTTTTAGAATGTTTTCACTGCATCATGAAGGTAGATGCTTAAGCTTGTGAACACCGTCTCTTTCCAGTAAAGCAACAGGTCCTGTGTTTCTGTTTGCAGATTACGCAGTCAGGGTCTGGAGCTGACCTATTTACCACAAAGGAAATCAACCATGCCATCCTGTCCCATCAGAATAAAGGGCCACAGGATTATGACTCTGGAAATGATACATCCTCTCCGCCATCTACAAAAACAGGCTTGGCAAGGTCAGAGGGCGATGAAGAGAAAAAAAGCTTGTATCAAGTAGAGTTACCTTCCCCCAAAAAACTGAGGTTCACTGATGCTGATAACGCCTCAGATTCAGGGAATTCTATCACCAGTTACTCGTCTGTGTGTAAGACATTGACCTTGGCAAACCCACCACCTAATGGTCTTGTGAATGGGAAAACTAAAAGGTGAGTCCGTCCATGCCATTTCACTTTTGTATGTGTGACAAAATGTTAATTTAAAAGACAGATGTCAATGTACAATCTATGTACCATTTATGTGCTATGTGTATGGACACTGATATTGCAACAATTTCTTTGTTCAAGCAATCACAGTAAGCGTATATTTAATGTCTTCAATCTCATGGTTAAAGTATTTTATACCTGCGATGACCTGAAGTTGGTCACTCTCCAAACACTGTACATATCTCAGCACCCCTGAATATCTGATAATAAAGGACTGCAAGGTTTATTTTCAGTTCTTTCATCCCAGTCTACTTACTATATGATTTTATATTTCATTCATCCTGTCTCCAGTTTAGAAACAGAGATCTCATGATTTAATTGTAACATTCCAAGACAGAAAATACCATGTTGCAATGCTAGTTTGTGTTCTTTATACTAAGACATTTATATTTCACCATATGAAATTTATGGTGTGCAATCTTGTCAGTCTCATTTTTCCACATCAAGGAAGAAAGCAAGCTGATCGTTTGGACTTTTGTTTATCGCACTAAAAATTGCACAATGGTATAATCTGAAGCAGCATAATTCATGTTTCCAAATAAATGTCTTTTAGTACGGGCCATGTGATGGAGGTCTACATTAACATGGCAGGTCAAAGTTTTAGAATTCCCCCAACAGACCACAGGTTGGGACTGAACAGCTGGAGCAGGAAAATGACATTTATTCCACAAGGTCCTGCAATGTGTGCAGCCCAATCCCATTCCATTCTTCATGCAAGATTACATTCAGTTGACGTTACGATGAGGTTAATGGCGTGTGGGATTGAACTGCATGTTCCATTGGTTCCACCTGTTTTCAATAAGATGGAAGGTGAAGGAAGTCTGTTTCATGCTCCTCAGTCCAACCATGCATTGTCTGCCGCTCAGAGAGTCTACACATTTGACTGGGAGTGTTTCACCCTGTGTAGGTATGTGAAACAACATGTTCAATAATATCTTTACTTCAATACCGCTGCAAACATTGCAGGGAGCTCATGTCGCCAAGCTTGGGGACAGCAGCGGTGGATGAACACAAGCCATTGGGGAATTCCCCATCCCAGGCACACCTACCCAGAGGTTGCTCAAGGATGAGGTCTAGGAGCAGCCGGAGCAGAAGCTGCAGCTCCCGGAGTTCCAGCCACTCCTCACACTCCTCACCCCGCTACTCCCGGAGCAGGTCCCTGTCCTCAGGAAAAAGGTGAGTTTGTGACCATATGCCACACCCACCCTCCATATGTGACAATTCAATATGTGCAACCTTGTAAAACCAGTAACAATGAATCAGGGTTGCCTTACTTGCCTAAAAAGGCTTACTGCATGTGTCAGCCTTGCTCGGTTTCCTCCCTTTCCCCTTCACTGAAGGTCTTATTCCCGGTCACCCAGCTACTCCGTGAAATCGAGGTGGAGGAGATCACAGAGCCAGAGTTCCAGATCTAGCAGGAGCCCCAGCTACTCCAGATACAGCCCAGACAGGTAGAGGGCATTCTCAACACAGCCTGCTAGCAAATTGACAATGTAATAGATCCAAGGCAGAATATAAAAGCTTTGTGATTGATAAATGGCCTATCGCTTGGATAGATGTACTGGGGAGTAAGATGATATAAACTAGAAGAAATAACTCCACTTACTGGAAGACAAATATCTATCTAGGTGATGAATTGTATTTTTGCAAGATTTTGTGATTTATTCATGTGTAGTATACAAATCTTTATGAGCCATGTCTGTGAATTAATGTAGATAAAGCTAACTTTGGATTCACTGAAACATTGGTGGATTTACAGTAACAAAAAAACTATTTAGTGCACTGAACGTCTGCAATGCAACTGTATAAATTAACTGGAAAATTTACATTCAAGTAGCATTGCTCAGAATGCAACAGTAGAAAATACTACATTCAACACAGGGCATGTGTTTTAATTTTCCAATAAGATGATCGGGAAAGAGTTTTAACCTCACCTGTTTGTGTCCCACACGAGGGATCGGGAAAGGGAACGAGAGCACAAGAAGTACAGCTCGTGCGAGAAAGAGTCCAAGCGGGCGAGGGAGCGACGGAGGCGCAGGTCTTACTCACCACTGAGGAAACGGAGGAGAGACTCTCCCAGCCACTTGGAAGCACGTAGAATCACCAGGTTTGTGCCGGGTCTGTTTGCACGCTTACATTCTTCATCCCTTACGTCACATGCACAAAATATCCCAGCGTGCTGGTAAAATTCCATACTGGTCTTGTACTCGATCTGAACTTCCTTATAATCCCCCTGAATTTAACTTGATAAACCAAAGTCTAACCCCACCTGATCTGCTGCATAGTTGGGCCACAGGAAGGTACTGGATATCTTTGGTGAATGAAATCCTTCCCCTCCTCTGGGTAACACATTTTGGGATCCTTGGGGATGAAAAACACTATATAAATACAAGGCATTGCCTTTACAACTCAAAATACTGCTGCCCTCATACATAAAGACTCATATTTATGCAGTATTTTAATAGGTCATTCTACAGTATAATTCGTTTTTTTTTATTTTGGGGGTTTTTGATTTTTGTTGGGGGATGGGGTTCCTAGCAGCAAAACCAATCTTTCACTTCATTCACTTCCATTAAAAAAGAAAACGTCACTTCAGTGGTACAATATCTAATGCTGGAAGAAGTGTGTGGTCCCGTGTGGAGGACTTTGGCGCCTGTCAGCTCTTGTTTCTCTTGCCCCCCCCACACAGTGCCCGGAAGAGGCCCATTCCTTACTACCGCCCCAGCCCTTCCTCCAGCAGCCGCTCCAGCAGCTGCTCCTCCTGGCGCAGCGCCTTCTCTCGAGACCGCTCCCGCGCCCGGAGCCGAAGCAAGAGCCGGAGTCGGAGCTATTCCACCTACGGGAGCCACAGCCGCAGCCCTTCCTGGAGCACCCTCGGCCGGAGCCACAGGAGCAGTCGCAGCCGGAGTTACGACTCTGCGGGCAGCTATGGCAGAGTGCGACGCTAGTTCCCCGCCTGCGCGTTAGGCAGGCCCGCATTTTGACGGGAAAGTGGGATCATGCCAGGTCCAGCTCCAGAGAGGTGTCGCTGGGCCTCTGGGGATGAGAATCGATTTTCCATATGCTTTCTGCAATCAACAGTCAACCAGAGAATAACACTGATGTTTTATAGTCCCCTGAGTTTCTTGTCAAAGAGTGCTTGTTACGAAAGTGGTGTTATGCGATTGGCTGTATCAAAAGAGACTGTAGGCGGTCACTGCACTGCTGGAGCTTCATGCTGCTCTACTGACACTCATCTGCAGCTGCGTTTCGAAAAGGTTGCAAGCTTTTCGTGAGATCCTCCTCATAATGGAAAAAGAGATACTTCAGATCCATTTCTTACATGTGTAAATCTGCTTGTAGGAATGAGACCAAATCCAGCAATGGTCCAGACCGGAGTAGGACAGCTGTATCCCAGATGCTCTTGTCAGTGTCTTTTGTCCTTTTTTCAACCATCCACTCCAACACTCCTTGGCACTTGTCAAATTAGCATTGCGCAAGCTTATTATTGAAGCCTGTAGGAGCTGTAGGAGCTGAAAATCTTACAATATGTACCGGAAAAGGGCAGTCGGTACAGATTTTTAAAATAATAGACATACGTTTTAAACTGCTATCTCATACATCAGACATACATCTTTTTAAAGTAAACTATACAGAGGTAGTGTCACAGGTGTTTTGAGAATATCATTTTCCCCATTTCTCAAATGTACTGTTTGTGTGTAGTTTTGAATTTTTAAAGTTTCTATAATGAATCTAGGCTAATTCATCTTTAAGGCCCAGTAATAAGAACCCTAGAACTGATCAATTAAAAATGGTTTTTACAGCACCAGCAACTTATGATATTTTTTTTTAATCACTTCCTTGGAAATGATAGCTCTTTCAACCAGCATTTGATGATACTTTGTTAAAACACTCTGAAAGCAGTCTGGATTTTTTTTATATTTCTATTGCAGCTATGCAGAGGGTAACGTATGCACCTAAAGGTAGTCTCATAGTAGGTGTAGCCTGTTATGGTAACATTTCTCCCTAGACTTCCTATTTTTGATGTCTCCTGCAGGAAGGAGTTGTTGTTGTTTGAAGGAAGTGTGTGGCTTGATGTTGGAAAGATGTCTGAAATGTGGTAATCGAATGCTGGCTGGAGATGACACCATACATACTGTTGGCCATATTTTGGTTGCTCTGGTGGTAGCTGCTTGTAACATCCATATCATAATGAATGTGATATTTAGGGATTGGGTGCATATACACACAAGTTACTATCAAACACATGTAATGTATTGCTATGTAAAAATTTAATATACACTACATAGTGCTGAAACAACATTCTATTTACCTCTGCAGGCAAACTGACACCTATGACAGTTGTTTAAGCTTACATATAGAGATAAATGATATCAGAGAAAACATCATACAGAATAAATTGCACATAAGCCGTGAACTCTGAGTGCATTCAACAATAAAGATATGCATACTTAATTCCACTAACGTGCAGTTTGGGAGTTACAAGAAAAAGAATGTGTAAAATTACATTACCCTATATTTCTTATTGATTTAAACATAATAGAATTCTGATCTATTCCGCAAGAGCAGAGGGGTCACGCAGCTATTTGTATGTTACTAAACACTAATGGAGTGGGAAATTTTCAATTGAAAAATGTTTAAAGAGTTGTTTTATGGTGAGATTAACACAGCTTCCTTTTTTAAGGATTATATCTAAGTTCCCTATACCTAGGGAACTGTCTTATGTGTAATGTTTCATGGCGCTAAAGAAATTAATTTATGATTGAAGGCAGGTGCACCTACAGGGTGCAAATAATGAAGAATTTCAAAGAACACTACAGACAAAGACTCATATTTTAATGTCAATACATGGCATGTAATTAAATGCATACTTGTTTAATGAAATGTACTTTAATTGTTTTAAGATAATATTGTCAACTGATTATAACAAAATCATAATATTATTCATTACTTTTATTATAGTTTTATCTTTTATTTAAATTCCTGAGCATACTTTTGTACATCAACTGTGCAAACATCTGTGCAAATATCAGTGTGATGTTTTATTTTTATTTCATTTTTATTGTATGAATAGCTTTTTGTGTTGGGTTCCAGTATGGCACTGACCGTTGGTTTCAGGTATTGTTATTATGTTCTATATTTCTTGTGTTCAATTATTTATTTAAGATCTTTAAAGAGCAGAAAAAACAAAGTCCCATGCTTCTAAATTAGCATTGGTGGCATTTATTTTGGAATGGGAACATTTTTAAAGGAAACATGCTCTAGTGGTTCATTTTCAATAGTACTATGCACATATTTTTGTATGCTATGGCTCTGTTTCGGTTCCAGCTGCAATGAAGTTTACAAATTATTTATTTATGTATTTATTTTATGTTCATTTTTCTTACAGCAATTATTTATTTTTTCTATGTAATTGTGTTTGATTATTTTTGCTGTTATTTATATAGTAGACAAGTGTGTTCTTTAATGCACTAATGTGGATTATATATCATATATAACATTATATATGGAAGAGGGAGGCTTGGGCGTTCTTGATCATGTTTTTGTAGCCTGATAGAAATCCATCAGCAATGTTATTTAAATATTTGATGTTCACTCCTAGCACATAGGTGAATGTTGCCAAGCTTAATTGGTTATGTACTGTAGGCTGTGAATAAGAAGAACAAGGTTTAGCCTGTCTGATATTCATTCTCAAGAAAAAAAAACATGTATCGTCTGCATTCCTGAAATACTGTACATGGTTTTTGATTGTTTCCCTTTTCTCAGAATGTGTAAGGTCTACTTTGAAAATGGAGATGTACCGGAATGAGAATCAGAAAAGGCATGGAAATAATGGTATGTTCTCTATGCATTGTAAATATGAAGGGGTGGCTGAGGTTGTTATGGAATTCTAGTTATTTACTGTAACCTATTTAAAAGAAGTAGTAGGAAAAGCAACAGAAAAAAATCTACATTGATGTCAAGGGATCTACTGTTTTTGATGTGTACGTTTATTTTCTATGATTCTCCAAGAGTGTTTGACATTCAAAAAAACTTGCTGGAATACTGTATATTCAATGTTCTGTAAATATGCGTCAATATATCTAAGTAAGCAAAAGAAAAACAAATTTTGTTTTGTGGGTGTGGCACTATGGTCATAGGTCTTATGCCATCCTCTGAAAAGTTTATTTGTCATGATGTCTCTCTTGAATTGTGAATCTTTTTTTGCACTATGGGATCATACTATTTTGTCAGAGAAGTCTCGTCCTTTTTAGAAGCTCTGTAGATACAGTATCTGCGCTTGCATTTTCATAGCAGAAGGCGAGCAACTGTCTACGAAACAGCGTTACTGTCAATTTATTAAAATTACATTTCTGAGAGAACAATTCATTCAGCGTTTGAAATAAGATTCGCTCACTATGAAGGTTTGAAATGCTTGGGAACTCAAAAAGAACAGATGGAAAAGCAAAAATTATGGTGATCATTGTCAAGACTGGAGAACAGTAAGAACCTAACAAAGAACAATCTATCCACTTATTTGAAAATGGTGTACAGTTAAATTATTCCAAAAACATCAAGTATTCTCCAGTCATTTATGAAAGCCCAGATCTCTAGGCTAATGGACACTGCTGCTGTACTTACAACAACTGTTGTTCCAAATGGCCCATGGATACATATTCTAAAAGCAGAATATCTACATACTGTATATGGCCATTTACACTTAAAATGCCTAAATGTTTCAAAAACAAAAACAAAACCCTGTGAGGACCAAAAATGTCACAAACTCCCAATGCACTTATTACATGTCATTTTGAGCTCGATTTGAAACTGTTTATACCTATTGGTACCAATCTCCCATTAAGACATATGAAATACCCTTCATAAAATCAGTCTTCCTCTTGGATTTAATTTGTGAGCCTGTAAAGCAAAACGTCCTGAATAAAGACTATCTGAAACAACACTTTGCCTTGCACTTTCACGTCATTTGCGAGAGTTCCTGAGTTTGTTTTGACTACGGTTGACCAAATGATGACAAAAAAATGGAAAACTTCCATCTCCAATTGTCATCCAAGGACCTGGGTTATTTTTGTGAACTATTTTAACAGATAGCCAATAATACAACCAAAGGAGCACAAGCCCATTGTTTCACTTGAAATTCAGGGTGTTATGCATTTAATTCTTTCATTAAAAAACCTACAGTAGAACCAATTATTTTACATAAGCAGTGAGGCCAAATCGTGCCAAATTTTCATCACTAGCGCTGATAATTCAGATCCCTTTTTAAACTGCTACATTTCATTGTTGAGGAAAGAAGACCTGCATACCCAAAGATTTTAGCAATGTATCCTAAAACAACTCAATAAGAATTTTTTAATGAGGTAAAGTGATCATAAGAGCATCTATAATTTATATACAGTATATTCTAACGTCGTGTATTACAAATGAGTTGATGACTTTTTTGGGGATAGTGACATCATGTTGCTCTCTCTCATACGGCGCCCTCTCTGTCGCAACCTTGAGTTCATTTCTATTTAAAAACTAATGAGATGCCATGGGGGTGGGCTAATCTGCTGAGCGATGGTTGTTCTGGAAGCCTGACACAAGGTGCACAACTAAATTTGGACAGAGAGCGTAATCACTTCATAGTCCCTAGGAAACGTCAGCTGTTACACGACATGCCTTCTGGTAAAGATATTTCATGATCCAGTCATAGCCCCGGTGACAGGGGGAATCTGATTCGGGAAACCCCACTATATAAAGCCGAAGGAAGTGGGTTGGTGCTTCCAGAAAACTTTCTGAAAGCACTAGATATTGATCTTCGATGCAGAAAAGTTTTGTTGGAAAATAGGTTTTCGTTTCGTCCCTGTTTGAGTTAAAGGGGATCGATAGAAAAGGTCATCTGACTGATCTGATATTTTTGTGCAGCTGTACATTAAACAGGAATAAAAGCAGTAAAACGCCGAAAAGTTTTTTTTTTTAAAGAAGTAACTGGGTTACAATAAGACGTAGCTGGTCAACGTCCATTTTACGTTTAAAACTAAATAACAAAGTAAAAAAGCGAGAAGTTCACGAGTTTGGTACAATCAACAAGTTTGGGAAGAATGGCGGATGGACACTTTTATACTACTGGAAGCAGACAGAGGACTCCAAGAGACCCATTCAGAGATCAGTCGCTCAGCTCCCGGTTCCTGGATGACGATTTTGGAATGAGCTCTTTTTCAGATGACCTGTCAATGGACTGGCCTGACTGGGTTCGACCCCGTCTAAGCTCTGCTTGGCCGGGCACTCTGCGGTCCGGATTCTCTCGCTCATCCACAGGTACCCCTCCCACGTACAGTTCGAGGTACAGCGAACCTCGCAGTGCGCCCGTGGCCAGAGGGGAGCCGTGGAAAGTGTGCGTCAACGTGCACAACTTTAAACCCGAGGAGCTGAACGTAAAAACCAAAGATGGGTTTGTAGAAGTGTCGGGTAAGTAAGCAGAAAGCTGAGAAATATGATATGCAATTAATATGCAAAGATGCTTCAATATAAAGACGGACTTGTTTTGCCTAAGAATACAAGCTCTCTGTAGTTTTGCACCTACATGTTTTAGCCTAAATAATAATACATTCTAGTAGATAATTCAGCGTAGTAGCTGCAGATATCCTGAAGAAAGCCTTAGGAATATCCTTCACAGCCTTAGGAAGGTTGTACTTTTGTCTCTACTTTACAGCGCATAATTATGCACCGTTTGTTCCTATACATGATATATTCTGCTTCTCTGTATAAATGATTTTATTTTTTTTTAGTTCTGCTGAGTCTTGCGGCTTTTCCTAGTAATACTCATTTATGCCTTTTTGCTTTTCGTTATTTAATCTTGCCATAGCAGTAATGTAACTTTCATTGCTGGGAAAGTTGTAAAATCAGAGTGACAAATCTACTTGCACACAAGCATAAAATGGCTTTTTATTCTTTCCTTACCCTTTGCATTGACTCTAAATTTAATCTTCTTAATTTACAGCCATTGTTTTTAACCATACGTACTTAACAGAACGATGCGAATTGCTGAGGCTTGTGATTCGCTATTTGCAATTAAAAACTTAGTTCCCCGTGCGTCTACACCTGCCAGGATTCCTGGTGGTTTGCTCAGCTGTGCAGTATTGTAAACCGGAGACAATTTTAGGAATCTTAATCCATTGTCTGCCCCAGTGCCATTACAGTCCGATACTTGTGTTGCTTGAAACTGGCGAGAAACAAATTTAATAACTTTTTTGCCCTACCCCAATTCGTATAAAAGAAATTTGAATAATACAATATTGTTAGAGGATCATTAGGCCTGTGTCTTTATTGAAGGATTTTATTTGGGTTGTTTTTTTTTTCATGATAAAGCTAAAACAGTTTGCTTCATGATCTATCTTTGAAAAGCTTTTCACTGCTGTATGCACAGAAATAAGTTTGGAAAAGGTTGCAGCTTAATTCTTTAAAACTATACTGGAGGTCTGAAATACAGTCCCAAAAGCACAAAGCAAGTTGTCAGTTCATATTCTTGATATCCCAGACAAAATCTCTGTGGTGAAATCTCTTCCCTATACCAGACCTCATTCTACTAAGTACACAGAGTAGGTGACAGTGCCATAAAAAGTAGATGAACATCATTAGAAAAACTTTACTCTGTGTCATGCCAATATTTTGGAATATTTTCAAAGCATTAGCAAAATCCAGTGTTTCTACAAGGTCTGTGTTGTAAACAGTAAATACTGATTTTTCACAATTCGCACAGTTGTTAAAATGGTTGAAATATTATGAGATCACAGTTTCCCCTTGGCAGATAAGGTGGTTACAAAACAAAGTTTAATAAAACACTGAAAGGAAAAATGTGTGACAAAAATGTTCTGGTATTTAATATATGTCATGCCAGTGAGGGAATGAAATCACCACAGAAAACAGCTTGTGTCCTGAATCCTTTCTCTTTAGGAGCTTGATCTAGTTCTTTCTGCGATCTAAGATGCCTCTGAGGGTTTAGGATTGCAAATAACTTGGCTAAGGGAGGGGTGGGGCTGCTCTGACATTTAGGAGCAACAGATGGAAAAAAACAAACAGCTGCTGAATGAAATCATGAGCTGGGTCACAGGCTGGGTTATATAAGAAAGGTTGCAAAGAGGAGGAGACATTCAGCCCATTCTGCTCATGTGGTACTTTAGTAGTCAAGTAAATGTCAAATTTCCTTCAGCCTTTCTCCTGGAGCAGTACAGAGCTTCAACTTCAGCCTCCTGGCAGGAAAACTGTTTCAGATATACCCAACCCTTTGTATAAAAAAGGGCTTTGTATTATCCACCCCTACTTAATTTCCCCATAATTTCGTTTTGTGACCCCGTTTCTCATCTTCACTACTGAGTCCGAAACTGTCCCCTCAGGTGGACACTAACTATAAACCTGAGGAGATTATATTTATAGATCAACTCTCACGTCAATGTCCTTTGTTCTAGACCAAAGAGATTTTACTCTTTCAGCTTGTTTATGTATCTATCAAGATGAGGAATCACTTGTTTTCATTTTGAATTATTTCTAAAGCTGCGATATCTTTTTTGACTTGATCTGATTAATTGTACAGTAAAGGCCTTCAGAACGCGGGCGACTGTTTTACTATTTAAAGAGCAGCTACAGTGGTACTTATGTCTATGGCTACTGTGGATTGAAATGGCACTAAGCGATTCACAATGATGTTACATATGAAGAAGCTAATAAAAAAACATACTCCACATGTGAGTGCAGTTTTGTTCTAACAATGCTTATCTGTTGAGTTACAACATAGTGATGGTTTCCTTTAATGGTTAAATTTATATGAGTATATACAGCAATGAAGTAGTGATTACTTTTGGTTTTAAATTCCAAAAATCCCCCTTAACCAGTGGTAATACAGTATATTCTCTTGAAGAGTTATAGTAACTGAGGCAATGAACAATTAAGCAATAATGCTATGTTCCATGGCATGTTTGAATATTAATTACCTGAATATTGTAGTGGCTTTTTTTTGCTTTTGGGAACTATAGACATTACCTTCTTGAAAAATACAGTCTCACATTACTCTAAACAAATATTTTAAATAATTTTAATACTTAATATTTTAAATGAATGAAACATCAGGGAATTGGATTAGGAAAACCTGACACAGAGCACAAATGAAGAACCACAAGTTATTTATTGATGCACAAACCCTATGCAGATGTTAAACAATATCAGAATTTTATCATGTAGAATTTAATATTGCACAGCATTCATTGATTACCTCAACATTTTTTGGTAAAAATTTAAAATGTACCTAGTTCAAGGAAAATGTGTTTGTAGAATACACTAGAATTCTAGACTCACTATCATATGCAAACACCATACAGACAAGACAAAAGATTAGGACACAGATTAGGACCAAAACAGATTAATTTTTAAGAACCCATATGGAGCAGATTTAAGTGCGAAAAACCTGTTTGGCTTTGTCATTCTCTCTGCATGAGAAAACAGACGTTTTTGTAGAGAGAATCACTCTTGAGGTTGAACATTGGGAAAGTTGATCAGGAATGGGTTAGAATTTTTTTTCAAAAGGAACGGCTACCCAATCACGAGCTCTTCTGCCATTACAAAGGGCTCAAAGAACCATTTCAGCCAAACTTTATTTCATACCAAGCCAACACCATTCGTTTGGAACACATGAGTCTCATTTTCATTAGGTCTCTTGAGTGAGCTCTCTTTAATGAGCTGCAGCCACTGGAAACCGTAAAGATGAAGCATCATGGATCGGTTAAGTGAAAGGTTTTGAAATGTATTTATTTATTAGGTTTTTTTTATCATGCTCATTTGTGTGGCCCTGGAAAATGCATAATGAATGAACACCTTGTAAACTATTGTATTACATTAAATAGTTGTTTTAACATAAATGATGTGAAAAAATAATACACATTTGAAAATCTATTCATTCAATTCATTTATTATATTTCAGTTTTAACCAATTTGTAATAAAAAGAGAACATAATTTTAGTATGTATGAGCTCAACACTGCACTTCTTTCAATCAACTGCTTGGCTACATTGTGTCAAAGACAGCAGCAGATAATCATTGTAATTATGGGAAGAAAAAAATAATACTAATGGCAAACAGGATTGTTGATTGCCAATACTGTATAATCATATATAGGAAGACATAAAATAATCATTACACACTGGCCAAAACAACAGTTAATTTATCTTTAACATGTTAAACGTTACATTTGACTTTATCATTAAAATGTTAAAGTTGGAGTCTCTCGAGTTTATTAACTTGTAATTATGTTTTTTTTTTTTCTGTGTGTAGGCAAGCATGAAGAAAAGCAGGAAGAGGGGAGCATTGTTTCCAAAAATTTCACTAAGAAAATCCAGTGAGTAACCCCATTGACCTTAAAGACTAGTTCTAGTGCTCATGTGCTTCAGTTCAATCAGTTCATTGCACTGGAGTGCCTCTTTGTTATCATGACAGCAATATTTTCCATAATCAATTCTTTTGCCTTTGGATTTTGACTAGTCAATCCATGTAAAATAGTAACATTATTTTAAAGTACTGATGCCAGCGAATGGTTTTAGAGGTGATTAAGTTGGGTGCTTAAATCTCTTGCTGAAAAATAATGTCAATTACATGAAACCATTAAACCAACTAACTTTCTAACCAGTCCACAGACATTACAGAAGTCATTCAAGTAGGGAGCTGCATCAGCATGCGTAGGCTGCAAGGGAACAGGTAAAGTTTTATTCCATTCTGAAAAGATTAGTATGGAATAAAACAGAACATTGTGTCGCTTTTCTTTTCAGCATGGAATAAACCTTTACCTGTTCCCTTACAAAAGTAATGCTAATCAGTACTACAGGGATGGCCCTAGGGTATCATCTCAACATTGTTCATTTCCTGTCCACTGATTAATACCTTTCTGACCCTCGCTGGAGTTCTTCATATATTACAATGGTCAGGAACATTTCACATCTCATTTTAGCAAAGTAGTGCTAGGTCTTCTGGGCTTATCTGCAGACCTCATCCTGCTTCCTCCAGAGTTTGACACATCCCTAAAACATTGAGATGCAAAGCATGACTGGAAAAATGTTTAAAAAAAACCATCAAATTGAGGAAGACCAAGTTAGATATAAGAAAGATAAATTAATAATGATACACAGTGAAACAGCTATTGGTATTCATTTTACTGTCCATACTAAACTAAAGTGATGCTTTAGAATCAATGAGTGTCTCTGATGGGATATATAAGTGTATGGCATGTATTAATTTTGTTTTCCCCACTTGTTATAGTTCTAAATAGGTAGATCTTTGTGTTCAAACCTTTTATTCTTTTTTTAAGAAAATGCAATGCTTAGAAAAGTCCGTTTCAGTCATTGTTTAAATGTTTCTGTTACTTGTTTTCGTGCTGCTACAGTATCAGATCCCCCCCCCAAAAAAAAAAAAAATTGGATGCTTTCTGGCAGTTTCACAAAATCAATGTGAGTGAGAAAAGCTGCAGCAGGCAGTAAACAAACCCTACTGCAGTATGAATATAGGGTCATATCAGTGTCTGAAATAATAAGATACGGTATGTGAAGCTTTTGATGCTCTAAAGAAAGCTGATGTTTGACTGCAGTATTTTTGCAACTAAAAAGTATGCAGTGTAAGGTGCAGTGACTATCTTATTTTGTCTTTCTCTGTTAGAGAAAGTACACGATTCGCTCACGAAAGGGAGAGAAATATAATCTGTGTTCTCTAGCTAATTAGCTATCAGTGTGGATTTTGGAGGGACCATGTTAATGAAGTAGAATGTTGGTATGATGTATGAAATGGCTTGGGAGTTTGTTTAAGCACTAGACAACTTGGCAGCTTTTCTGGAAACTTGAGCAAGTCCTTATTAGGTGATGGCACTTGACAAAGACTTGGCACACACTGCTCAGCTGTTTCGACTAGAAAGATCTTTTTCAAAGTAAGACCCTTCTGCACACCAGAGGACATTCTTTAGGGGAGCTGTATTTGAAAAAAAATGCTTTCTGCTTTCTGCTTGAAAAGAGAATAGATTTTATACAAATGGTACACACAGCTGTATTTGTTAAAACCTTAGCTTGTTCGAATTTAGTATGTCAAACTGTATAGTGTAGAGTCGTTATCCAATATGAGAAAACTTGTTAGTGTGTTTTTTAGATATTTCTAGAAGCAGTTGTGGTGAAGGTTATACATTACATCTGATTTCACCTCAAATGTTACTACTGTATCTGGATTTATCAGCAAAAAGCTGGAATCTGATTTGTCAGGATCAGATGTCACTCAATATGGAAATCATGGAACTACGACAACGTAAAGCAGTAAAATGCATGAATATAAATCCTGTAGAGAAATATTCTCCTGCATGGCGTCTGTTCTTAACCTTTATAGTTATATTAAACGTACCATATGAGGTCTCTGATCTCTTTCACTTGTAGGCCTCACTGATAGGAGTTTTATCTTAGATCTTATCTTGTCAGTCTCTAATCAGCTGGGCAGTTTGGAAAAATGGTTAGATTATCTTAGCCAACTTATGTCTAACCATAAAGGACTGGACTAAGAAAGTGAGGAAAATACTGAAACATAAACCTTAAGACATAAGTGGAAACTACAAGGAAGTACTTTTAAAGCTGAGAACTGCAGGGACTTTTTAATCTTTTTTTTCATCAAAGTCCATCATCTGGTTTCCTGAACCTGAAGATGCTCAAATCAATTTGGTAATTAGTTACTCACTACCAAAAAAATGGCCTCCATACAGTATATCTCTAATATTTCTTATTCCTATAAAGATGACAGTATCAGTACCCTTTGAAGATTGAGGATTAAGTGACATGACACTGTATCTTTCCATATACAATCTTTTCCCTTCACTTTTTTTCTAGGATACCTGGAGATGTGGATCCCCTCACAGTTTTCGCTTCCTTGTCTCCTGAGGGAGTTCTCATAATCGAAGCTCCTCAGACCCCGCCCTACTACCTCTTTGGCAGTGATTACACAGGGAACGAGGGAGAGGAAACCGAGTTTAAAACTCAGGAAACAACTGTGGCCTAATGTCCTCGTCTGTAAAAGGAGGCCTCAGAGGGATGTGGAAACCCTATCAACAAACATAAGCGGACAACCAACCTGAAAGATCTGACAGAAAGGGTTGGGTGCAGCAGATTGGTTTTCTGACCTTTGCATATTTTCACCTCTTGAACTTTAGGGTACATCAGAACGTGGGGTCACATTGGCTATGGGTATGCTTGTCTTCGTTCAGCCCCTAGAGGAATTATACGAAATATTTCTAGCTATTATATTACTATAACATTACAGTATTAGAAAATACCACCACACAGTTATCTATAACAGGCAAACTATGGTGAATGCATTAACTCAGTTCACTTACTGGATCATCCCTACACGGTTGGACATTGACAAAAAAACACATTTTAACCACCTTTCTGTATGTGCCTGCCTCCAGGTGGACACAGAAATCCTGAGTGTCCAATTTCCTCTGCCTGATCTAGTATTAGTAATGCTTCATTCTGAGTCTGTAAGGATTTGCCATATGTTTAGTTCAGATTAACTCAAAAGCTGATGTTCTATGATGTGTGTGTTTACATTTGATAGAATGAGAGAGCCTGCTTCATTTTTCTCTATATAAATGTGCAGCATCTCACTAATTTCATACTGTACATCTATTGAAAGCAATCAGACTACTCAACTGAAAGTCCATTAGACCTTTTTAGGTGACACTCACAATAAAGCATTACTGTCTTTCTAAGGTGACAAAAGGTGCACTTTTCAGAAAATGGCAATTGTAAGAATTTAGGTTGTTTGGACTGCTTGAGATGTTTATGGTCAAATTCATGGTAAACAAGATTTCTTTCTCATTTATTGGAGTGCTCTGTTTTAATCTGGACGCATTCAAGCAATTACTAATTAAGTATATAAAACTTGATTTATGCTGCTTTTCAATTCCACTTTTGCCAACTGTATGTAATTCATTTTTTTAAAGAATCATGGGTTGATCAATTTATGTGAATTTTTTATAGAGGTCTTACAAAAATGTTTTTTTTTTTGCTTTTCTATTTGTATATGAGATCCTGATAGTTTTTTTCTGAACTAATTAATGCCTTTAAAAAAAGTCAGACTAATTATTGACTGTTATTTTTAATGGAATGCCACTGAATGTCTTTGTTTAAGCAATAAAACCTCCCAACACCTCTTGTTCAGTCTGTTTTGTCTTTGTTCTATTTCTGTGTTTGGAAGATTGTTGAGAACATCAAATAATGTATTGCTGCAGTAGAGTTGTAATAATTGGATGACATACTTGTTGGGGGCTTGCTAGATGTACAGTAAGATGAACAGCTCATTTATGCTTCCTGCCAATATGTACATATTTGGTGATACTGATCTAAGGATTCACATCCTGCTCAAGATTGTAAAATACAGAATAATTTAACATAAGAAAAGATCTGTCCATGAATTCTGCACATTCTCTTAATAAACAGTTTGGCTTAATTCCATAAATTTAAATGCGAAAGCACATACTGTATGTCATCCCTCTCTCTTCTACAGATTAATCACAAGTAAAACCTGAATTGTTGCTTGCAGTTCTTTATTAGTACTCCTAAATAGCAAGTCTTACAATGTTTGGTGTAGTTTCTTTATTACTGTACTTCTGCAGTTCCAAAACAGATGGACACTGACAACCTGGTATATAGAGCATTGCTATTTAGTAAGTGTAAATTGAATCAGGAATGTTGTGTGCGTTCTTTAACCTCTTCAGGCTGCTCAGTGTCCTGTTTCTCTGAGACCACTTGTCCAGAGCACAGGGAATCCTGTGGTTTGACAGGATCCTGCTGTGGTCCTTCTATAGGAGGTTCCTCGGGTGTTGCTGGGGTTTCCATCACAGGTTCTTCAGTGACACCTTGCTGAAGTCCAGTTTGCACCACTGGTTCTTCACTGGTGGCACCCTGTTCACTCTGGACAGGAACACCCTCCTCTGAACCAAATGGTGCACCTTGCTGCCCTGAATGTGGCTGTGGTTTCTGATTGGCATTTTCTTGTAATGCACTTTCATGTTCATGCTCCAGATCCGCCCTGGCTCCAGGCACAGTGTCTGCATATTGCTGTGCCTCAGTCTCTTCAGTGGGTTGCAAGTGGCCTCTGTCCTCTCCCTCCGCTTCATCCTCCTCTTTCTGGGCTTCCTTTTTTCTCTCCACCTGCACAGTAATTTGCTTTGTCTTTCATTTACATTCCATGTACTGTACAAACAGCGTTTTGGTCAGCTTGAAAACAGCCACCAAGATCAACAAATGGCCTTGAGATGATTTGTTGAAAATAACTAGTAATAGAAATAGTACATTTTTCTTTGGAAAAAAACAATTTCGGTAGGGAAACAGCAACAATGATTTTACTACATTGTTCTGAAGATATTAATTAGAAAATGACTCCCTTCAGAAATTTTAACCATCATTTGCCATAGAGGTCACAATCCAACTGTGTTAAACACAGCCTAATTAATTAGTCAGATCAAGAAGGGATCTCAAATGATGTGTTCTTACAAGCAAAAACAATCCATTTTTAGTAGCATGCTAATTGTTTACTCTAACTTCTAAGATGTCAAGCCGATTTTGACAAGTGAACATTGAATACAAATGACGGCTAAACAGCCGAAGATGAAACAATATACATTTGGAATTTCTGCTGTTATGGTGTTTGAATGTGGATGAATATTAATGTGAAAAAATACAGTGTATATAGGGATAAGGAGGCTGTTTCTGAGCCAGAACAAGTGATTTGTTAATCTACAGTTTATATGGAATCACTGAGAATGGATAATTAAAAATTATTTCAGGAAAAGGCATGAGCCGGCTGTGCTATCATAAATATTTTATTCAGAATAAATCCTTACAAATCCTCATCATACTTGTTGCTGCTCTATGCCTTGATCTTTCCTCACCTGAACAGGGATGACAATCTCGACTGGAGCTCCATCAGCTTGCTGGGGGAGAGGGGCTTCCACAGAAAGGATGCCACTTGGCGATAGGGAGGAGCTGATGTTCTGAGGATCCACACTCGAGGGGATCCTGTAGTGATCAGAAGAGCCAGAACCAAGCAGGTGAATCATATCAAAAGACTGTTTTAGTTACAAGGAGCTTGCAATGTATGGAGCTCGTGTAAAAAGCAAAAAATGTCACGAAACAGCTTTGGTAAAATTATTAGTTTTTCCCAAATCGCTGCCACTTTCTATATGAGACGCATTGTAGAATATTTTGTGAAATTGCTTTGAAATGATTTTGTTTTGACATCTTTAGGCTGAACACACAAAAATCAGTTGGCATCAGGATTGCACGACTCTTGCCCATGACTCAGAACAAATTTGTGAATCAAAAGCACAGCGTGTTTTTCAGAGTATGGTATCTTAATTCACACTTAATTGTTTAGTCCATGACTCATCTTGTTCATTGTGTGTTCATTTCTAATAATGACAAATGGAAAAACCAACATGAAGTGCAGAGGTTACTGAAGGAAAAATAAATAATAAATAATGCTATCCTGAGAAATGATTTTCACAATGAAACTGAAGCACACCTTACTAATCAAAGTAAAGTAAAGTGTAAAGGCTTATGTTGAGAAACAAATGTATTTGGTATTAAATCTCAGTATTTAAATTGCATTAAACTTATGACAAATAGTAATCTTAACTTACTTATACTTCCTTGTAAAACATCTGGAGACAAATCCATGTTCATCCTGTCTTTCTTCATGTTTGCCTAGGAATTAGTCATCAATTAATTATCTTTGAGTAGAATTCAGAATCAAATACTTTTTGTGTAAAGCAATTGGACTCCCCAAGCTAGCGTAAATGCTGGGAAATCTCCTTTGTGTAGTCAGCTCCTGATGTTTAAACTGGTGTTCAAGGAATATGTGGGCAGTTCCCATACTACTGAAAGTTAAGAACACAAAAGACAAATTCCTTTAAATGCAGATAACACACTCCCTCTTTTTAAAATAATATGCTCAACTTTGGAATTGACATGTAAACTACAGACAAGTGTTAACAAAAACTATGTAACCTTAGGTAAAAAAAAAGAGAGAGTACAGCAAAGAAAAGTGACTAGGTTGTTGGTCATACCTGCTATTTCCAGGTAGCCCTCTTTTATTTTGATGGTAATTTCTTCTGGAGAGAAATGGTTGACATCCAGGCTAATTTTCCAGCAGTCGGGTCCAGTCCTGACTTCAGATACTCCTCCGCACAGTTGCCTCTGAAGATTTGGGCTGCTGGCCCCTTGCTCATAGAATGAATAAGGTGCAAACAGGGGTGAGCGCAAGTAAGCTGGCCAGGAAGAAGACAGCCGTCTCCTCGCCCAGTCGATCCAGTTCAGATCTCCTTCCTCCAGGAAAGGGGGCAACCCAAATTCCTGGTCAAAAATGCGACTGGGCTGTGCCCAGTCCCGGAAAGGATCCCAGTTCAGGTCCCGTTGGGAAAGGGGACGGGGGAGACGTCTGCTGTGCTCTGCCATAGCCTACGAAGAGTTCACGAAAAGGCACGAAAAAAATACAAAGAAAAAAGAATGGGCCTTTCAAACTGCTGGTATTTCCCTTTCTGCCTTTTTTGGCTCTCTTGCTTTATCAAGAGATGAAGGCTTCAAAACGTGAAAGTCAAAATTAATGAGAAAATAGTTGCAAGACAATAGAAACAGCTAGATTTTTAAGGTATGCACTTGGGAGCTGATTAATAATTAGAAAGGTCAGATTTTTACAGAAGCTTTGCTCAGTTAGAACACATCGCTCACACTCCTTATATAGCCTGACTGTCCTTTCTAACACTTACTAAGCACTAATAGTTGTCCTATGAGATGTGAAAGTAGGAATCAGGTGATGGGCTGGGAGATGGTGCTGTTACTTACATGTTACACCATGCTTGGAAGAAAGGAGCTAATTAATGGTATTTATAGCTCTGGAGGGAAAATGGCAAATAGTTGGAGGATGACTGCAAGCACACTGGTGATGTTGTGTTCACTGGCGTGTTCAACAATCTTGTCACATCCTGGTTCTCTTTACTTTCTCCATAGTTACCGCTGTCTTCTGCTTTGCAATGGAAGTTTGTTGATCCTTTTTGCTGAGCACTTTCATCAAGGTGGAAACCAACTAGAAGTTAACTGGTGTGTTAGAAATACAAGGTCTCATTTTAAAGTGAGCTAGACCGCCTTAAGAAGCACTGTGGGTTCTTCAGGAACTAGTGAAATTTTTGCTCAAGAAATAAGCAGCAACCAGTGGCTATGCCCACAAGGGTTAGTAATACTCTGTTTTTTGCAGGTAACAGCAACACCAAGAACGGGAAAGATTGTAAACACTTGTGTGCTCACTCCCACACTGTACCAAGGCTACAGGGTTCAGTCATGGAGGGGTGATCTTAAAATTGGAAAATCCAAATTTGTTTTTGGAGCATGGAGACAGATTTGGAAGTGTAGTTGACAAAGTCTGAAAACTCATTCAGGATAAATTATTTGACTAAATATTGAGAAAAGAGAGAAGAAGCATAAGCATGACTTGCTTATAGAACATAAGAGGGGGTTATGTTGTAGAGGAGGCCCATCTAGCCCAGTTAGTAGTTCATTGATCTGAGGATCTCATAAAGCTGGTTCTTGAAAGAAGCCAGGGTATCAGCTTCGTGTTTAATATTAATACAACCCTTTGAACACAGAAGTGTCTGATGTTCCCAATTTTAAATGCTTCCACTGAAGTTCTGTGCTTCACATTCTAGTTGCTTCTGAAGGAATCCATTGAGTTGGCTTTGTCAATCCCTTTTATAGACTTTTGCATACTTCGATTAGGTCCTCTAATAGTCTTCTCTGTCATGGAATAAAAAGGTTCAGTCGTTTTAGCCTGACATAGTACAGCATTCCTGTAAAACCTGGGGAATGTATCTTTACAAATTCCAGAACAGCTTCTGTGTTCAAGGCTTATTTTTATTGAAGGAAAAAAAAACTATATACATTTTGTATTTTGTCCACATACTGTACATTTTGCAAACATACAATATAACAAATAGCACAAGGAAGGCAAAAGCTTTGTGTTACTGATAATAACTAAAGGTTATTTTCTTTCAACGGAGTAAAGCAGGAGGTGTTTGTGGCAAAAAAAAAACCTGAATCCTAATTAAACTGATAAAGTCCTCCTATGAGAGCTGTGAGGAATTTCACTAATGAAAGAGCTTAGCATCCCCACTCCCTACATTTCTTTACTTCTAATTAGTTTATGTCACTGGTTCCTCCAAGTGCTATTAACGGACTAGACACATCTTAACAAATTCTAGAGGGAATTAATAAAATCTCTCTATGAAACAGTAATGAGAAGCAATCAAATAAAAGGCATTTTTAAATGAATGGCCTGGGGAAATAATAATATGAATTGGCCTGCAAAAAAAAATACTGAAATAACATTTGTGACGGGCAGAATGATACTGTACCGAATACGTAAAAGACTCTTGTTTCTAATGCTATAAAATAAAAAAACATATTGAACACTATTCTGAAATCAAACTCCATGAAGGGGTCTACCAGAAAAGGTTCAACCCAATTTTCAATGTTCTATCTTTGGGTCAATGAAGTAATTTTAAGCCACAGGTAGTTGAGATGCTGGTAATGAGTAATATCTATGTAGTCCATGCTCCTCACACAGATATAAAAGAATAAATGAATGTACAAAATTCAATCTATAAATTAAACACTTAAACATGTCACTTTCAAGACCATGCAATGCATACATGAAGCCAAAGAGATTTATTTCAATAACTTACAAACTTGTGTTTTACCTTGTGACCTGATAACTTCACACTTTGATATTTGTTTTCATTTCTCATTGAAGCTGTTAAAAAAAAAGCTTCCCCCCCACCCCGTGCACAGAATTCAGTTTGTCTTTTTGTCCTCTGGTCCCTGCCCTGTCTTTTCCTCACAGACATCAAAAGGGACAGTGGCAAGTGAGGGAGGGCAAAAGACACTGCAAAGAAAAAGCTGCCTTCAAAGAGAAAGGGGGAAAGGAGCTGCTAAATGGACCTGAAGAGCTGATAAAGTGAGCTTTGATTTTTGCTCAAATCCCTGAGCAAAAAAAAAAGCTTACTCTGACCAAAGAAGGCTTGAGTCTTGTTCTTGTACTCATTCAAGGTTGAATAACAGAAGCTGTAACATAAGTCCTTTTGCAATACATACTGTAATATATACAGTGTAGTAGGAGGTTTTAAAGTGAGATCTGTTTTATCTCTTCGCCCTGAAGGTTGAGGCATTGCTACTGTAGGTCTGAATGAGTTTTTTTTTGCTGTAAGATTGCAGCAGCTTTACTGGTCCTTGTATAAATTACATGTCTGATGACAACAGTTGCTTTATACAACACTGATGTCTGAGGGCAGGGGCTTGTCTTAAGTAGCATTTCACTGGTGTTGTCTGATGAACAATATTGAAACATCCCTACCACTATGGGTATGCACTGTGGTGCATTGTTGTAATCGTGGACATCTGGGGAGACTGAATACCCCAATGTGATCACCACCTGCTGGATGTCTCTGTTGACTGCAGATAGTACAAAGAAGTGCATTCCCCACTTGCCAGGTAGGTATTTTGGTGATGAGATAACATAGTTGCCTTTGGAACTAGCAGCTGGTGTTCAATTGTGTGGCTCCGGCTACAGAACCTACAGCATCACAGTCTAATGTAAGAATCACCTAGCAATGTGATTATTCTGGAAACTCCTGGATCCTAATTAAAATACATAAAACTGACATTGCACCCCATACATATCTGTTCGTCAGTTGAGAGCTTAAGAACAAGCCATTTTAAAAAGAGATTTTAAGAACGTATCCTTATACAGTACGTATTCAATAATAAATTCCAGTTCCCCAAACAGTGAATATCTCGATGGCGATCAGACATGTTGCAGTAGAAGAATTTACACAGTATATGGGCACACGGTAATTTCCTTGAGATTAATAAATGTCTGTTTTTAATTATTTTAAATTTTCTAATATTCTTTAAAATATATTTTATTTTTCTTGCTTCTGTTTGTCAAACGTTTAGTTATAAACCATGTAGTAATAAAACATTTGTCCTGTAAACAGGTGAAATTGATGGGCTGGTGCGGTGAGACACTAATTAGTTAACTGACACTAATTAGAATACTAACTGCGAGATCTATTAGTTCTACTTAAATTTATGTGCCGTTTTAATTAAAACGTCTGGATAACCGCAGTAACCAATTAACTTTCAGTTTCAGAGAAGCTAATTTATAATCAGACAACGCACAATGGCTGCACAGAATACAAACTTGGAAAAGATTCCCGAAACAAGTATTGAATTAGGCCCGGAGTAAAACTTCTCTATTTAAAGACGAGCCTTCCGACAGACACGTATTTATGACGGGTTGGTTCGCACTTTTCAGGAATCCTTTCTCTCTTAAATTATTCCTCTCTTTTGTTTGCACTGTAACTAAGGGAAACAAATGAAGACACTAGCCAGTGTCTGCGTGACTGTAGAAGACCGAGACGAGACGGATTACTTCGCTGAATTATGCGTTTTGTATTCTAAGAACCACCATACCGAAAAAAAAGAAAACTAAGATGGAATAGGAAGACCACTACAATAGCTCTTGTTCTGTGCGTATTCTGGAGTTTAGTTTTTTTTTTTCATGCGCATTAAAAACTCTCATGACATAACATCAGCAGGCGGGGTGTAATGTGCAGCTATGCCTGTGTGCTCAAGTAAAAGTCTGGACCCACGCAACTTCGTAATTATCAAACCACTTCCCATAAGTCCTCCCGCGGGGATAAAACTCCAAGCTCGTAGTAGCACCGTGTTCAACCCCTGCGAACCGAATCGGGAGCAAGTTTTCAGGGAGAATTACCGTCGGAGACAGAAGCAACTGACTCGCCAGGGCTACAGGGCAGTAAATTGGCGGCCGTATGAGGAGATTGGAGAACCCCTTGTCCTGGAGCCTAAGAGGCTGATTCTGCATTCTTTAGGACAACCTGAACAGGTGATTTCTGTTGTAAACTAAGAAATGCATTGCTTCTTCACGTCTTACTTGAACTATTAAATAGTAATGATGTAGTCTTCATAGTATGTCAATGAACTGAATAGGGAAATGGACCAATTCACCTTCAAAATGGGATACATAATTATTAATTCAATCAGATTGGTCCGTTTGCTTTATACGACTTCAAATAATGTCTTAGTTGTGTTTTTTTAATTTATTTTTGATGTTATTATGTAAGCATGCCAAAACGCAGCTCAACTATTACATTATCCCTCTTAAATTAGTGTTTTCTCCTAGTAACATTCAGCTTTTTTGGTAATTTAGGATAGAAAACATAGAACATTAGAAGAAACCACTTTTATATTCTACAGTATGTTCATCTTACTACATTGTTTTCGTTTATATTTGACCTATGTGTTTAATCTTTAACGAATCTGTCTTTGGCAGATATGTGTAGCTCAACCTTTCGTGTTGTTCTTGAGTTTGTTTCATGAAGCCAGAAAAAAAATTGTAGGACACACTAAAGGGATAGGCTTGTCAAAAGAAACTTTTTCTAAGCATCTCATGTCACCCTTGAATAGTTTAAGTAATTGTATAGATTTGGATTTCCCTGGCTGGCCTCTGAGGTCAGAAAGAATGCAGATAGCAGTGTGAGTTTCGACCCTCCACTTGTGTTAAATGTGAGGCTATATCAGGTGGCCTTGCTCCTATCAGACAGGAGACGGGAGGGAATGTCAGTTCACAGGTCGCAGTCCTTCATTCATTCTAGAGCCCACTTTGTTATTGCTGTATGGCACTACAATGCTTAGGATGTTTCCTTCTCTCTCCCAAAGTATTGCTTTTGGTTTTATTAGGCACGTGCAGATGTCCTCGACTACTAGCACAACAACACGGCTGGAGCCTGATTCTTTTACTCAATTGCCTAAAGTCAAGTGAAGAATACTGTATTTTTTACCCACCTGTGGGACAGGGTGTATTGTTTTTACAAACAGCAATGTGTTGAAATATAAAATCCCATTCAGACTTTGGCATAAGACATTCCCTGCTACCTTCTATAGGTACAAGGTGTAACAGCAGGACTGCAATCATTATAAGCTCTATGATTAAACTGGCAGCAGAACTGGGGGATGTTGCTTGCCCCTCACAATATAGTAGTGACATCATTTTCAAAAGTATAATCAGTATCCATTAATGTTCCCCTAGAAAGAAGAAAAAAGTTAGTCATGTGTACACAGGAGATTTTAAAATGATTAAACATGTTCTGCAAAGACCACTGTCAACTCTTTCCCTCCAGAACCCCAAAGTGCTAATAACTTAGGGCTCCCGTTTAACTTCTTTCTACTAATGACTAGATTGATTGCATTAAATTAATATTTATTTTTTACCTTTAGTAGCTGAAATAGTAAGGTTCTACAAAAGCCCACAGGATTCTGGATCTTAATAACTACCACTAGCCTAAAGACATTCACCATTTCTGTGGCCGCGAAGAGTTTGCTACAAATGGTACCTGACATATTCACTTAAAAGAAAGCAGCTGGGAAGGGTCTGGCATTGGCAGTCATATACCACATGTTTCATCTTTTATTCTTCAGAGTAGGAGCAAATGCACCTGGGGGTCGACAGAAGTTAATGTATCAATTTTAAAATGATCATGGTCCATGACTCGGGACTTTAAATAGCTTGAGCAGATGTATGGAATTTTAGCATCTAATGTATCATAGAAGATTTGGTGTTAAATGGGCGGTTTATTTCTGTGGACATTGCATTTATCATCATTATTGTTGTTGTAAAGCGGCTGATGCAAGCAGGTTGCCATAAGTATGTGGGCCATAACAATATTAATGGAGAATGATGGAGGAACCTGTGCTGTTTATATGTCTGCACATTTGTACATTTAAAATGGATTCCATACAGCCTTGTTACATCTGGTTTGGTCTTTTTCACTGACTTCAAACTCTTCTTAATGACAAAGCGAAGCTGGTTTATTTCTGTAAAAAGAGTGGATGCACAGACCCTTCAAGATCTGTCCTTGTCTATATATAGAGAGCTGTAGTAATTCACTCCTGGCCCTGGAGGACCTCAGTCCACTAGGTTTTATAAGTAACTTATAATTTTCAATGACTGGAGACCTTGGTAATATTAATGGACTAATTAAGTGGAAAAATTGATTCAATTCATGTCATTAAGAGTCCTGGGTGGAATGAAAATCAGAAGACATGGTTGCCCTCCAGGACTTATAGGCTTCCTTATGTAGTATCTAACCGAAGGAAGAAAGAAAGTATTTCAATAAAAAGTTAATTATGATGTGCAAGATAATTGCAAAAATTAATTATTCGTTAAATTTTGTGCCTCTTCAAATGTGAGAATTGATGCTGCCTACTTTAAATGCATACCATTTTTGGAGGATGATGGAAATATTTTAAGAATACAACACAGTTTGGATAGTTGCCCAGAGATAAACTAATGTACCTGTAAAATGATTTTTGGGAGGAAAAAAAAAGCCAATGAAGCAAAAAAAGGCTATATTGATGCTATATGATATCTAGGCTTAACATGGATTGTTTTAGTGCATATCATTCATCAGCTGTGGCATAAAGGAGCATACAGAAAACTTGGAATGGATTGTTTTCTACTAACTAATAACATCCACTAGTTTGCCACAGCTCCACTTAAATTAATTTAACATTTAAAGGAATTCAAGATTCCTGCATTTACCTTTATGTTTTCTAGACTTTTTGTTGCAAAAAAGGTTTCTGGAATGCATAAACCAATTGAGAATTTATGAGAATGGATCTCCTAGATGTGGTGTACAACCACAGAAAGGGTGAAATGTTATTACTGGAATGTATGGTCTTCAAGAGATTTAAATGTACTGAATTTCAGATTTGTAAGGATGAACCTTCTGGAGGACCAAAGGAAGACCAAGAGAGTGCCTTCAACAAAGCACAACTAGATTCAGCTGAAGAAAGCAAGGTAAAGGTGTTTTTTAATTATTTTAATGAGTGTCATGTAATACAGAAAATATATACACACGGCAAAACTTAAAATGTGTATTTGGTTTTGTGTTCTAATCCTAGCATTCTATATGACATATCCTACTGAATTGAATATATGAGTATGCAGAGATAGAAAGCAGCCAGGAAGAGGTGAAAAGATTGAAATGGTGAATTAATCTACATGTTATCCTAGAACTAAGGAAGGCATAAAGGCAAGAAGTTCAGCTGGGTGACGTAAGACAGGACTGGCTGCTTTACTGTGTGAAACAATTCAGCAGGTCCATGGAGAGTATTTTTTTTCTAACCTGAGAAACTGCATATTCATGTGTGTCTGACTTACATAGATGGGGCAGCCTGACTGCAATTAAGTAAGATAAGCCACTGGGATTGAAGGGATATAAATGCTTAATGTGAGAATCTGTCATTCATTCTTGTATTTTTAATTTTCCTTCTTTTTTTCCAGGTTATTTATTAACTGTGTATTCTGCCATGATGTACCACATGCCGCTTTTACGCATACATGCATGCGCGTTTTTGTTATAGGAAATAAGTATTTGTAAAGTCCCCCCAAACTTGCTTTCATGCTTCATATATTCTTCTGTTTAGAATGTGCCTTCAAGAGTGCTTCCCATTGAGAAGACAGGGGATGATGGGAGAGCTCTCAGGAGACACCTGACTCGCACAAGGTCAGAATTCATGCTTTACAAGAGCCACATTTGCTAATTGCCTACGACATTTACTGCAGATTATCTTCAGTGCAGAACAGAAATAGTAAGCATTTTAAAATGCATGTAATGTGGGTTCGTGAAGTGTGAATATATGAAGAACAAAACATTTTGATTTTAGAAATGTGTTTGGCTTCTTTAATCAAATATCCCAGACATAAATATCAAACAGATTTACAGAAATATGTACATGTATAAAAATATACATAAAGAAAACATTATAACGTTGCACAATGAAACGTGACACTTCCAAAATTAAAACCATTACAAATTGGATATTGTGTATGTCCTCCCTGAGCATTAACGCTGTCCTGGCAACACAGGTGGACTGACCTGATCAGACTCTGATCAGACAGACTGCTGTGGACTGTTCCACCACTCTTCCTGTGTAGCTACAGTCAATCAGTTAGTGAAGGTTGGCTGATTGCAGTCGTTTTCCTGTTGATGATATTGGTGATGGTGAGGCCACACAATTGTTCTTATGCACTTGGATCTGGACCAAGAGCTGGCTACAGTAAGACTTCTGTCAAATCTGTCTTCTGCAAAACATTCATTTAATTAATTAATTGCTTACACTTATATAGCGCTTTTTTGGACACTGCACTCAAAGCGCTTTACAGGTAATGTGGACTCCCCTCCACCACCACCAATATGTAACACTCACCTGGATGATGGGATGGCAGCCATAGTGCTCCAGAACGCTCACCACACATCACCTATTAGTGGGGCAGAGAACAGAGTGATGAAGCCCCTTTATAGATGGGGATTATTAGGAGGCCATGATTGGTAAGGGCCAATGGGAAATTTGGCCAGGACTTTCATCTGTGAATGGATCACCTGTTCATCCCCTTTGCCACCATGAAAGATGTCTCTGGCCTGCAGAAGATAGCAATTCTGTGTCTCAGCTGGCATTGTTACCTCTGAATGGTCTCTGAGCTTGCAGATCCTTTTCATGCAGAGATGAGTTAGTCATTCTGATGATACTCAGGTTATTTCTTTTTGGAATTGCCTGTGCTTTAGCCACTGTAGTTTTTAAATGATTAAGCAGATTAATTAGGTGGTAAAAGGCTGTAACACTGTGCCTTCTAGGACATAGCGAGCTCTTCGCATTTCCTGGTTTCTCTGTACTAGTTTCCTTATTGTTGAAGCAGAACATTTCTTTCCTGGGCAACTTCTCTTTGGGACAATACACATTCAATCGGGCAATCATTACCTAAGCAGGCCATATTTGTAGTTGTGACTGAAATACCAAAACACTGAGCCGCTGGCAGTTTTATGAAATCATGTGGCTCGACATTTTATTATCCGAAAGAATAATACTATTAAGGCAAACAACAAGGCTGAAATCAAATAGATATTGATTTAAAACGTGGACATTGGACATCAGTAAGTTACTGATATGGGCACATTGGCTGTAGAGGACAGATAACATTCTGTTTCACCATGGCATAGTTTCTTAACCTCATTTATCACACAAGCAACTGTCTTAAATGCAGCCTTATTAGTCATGCAGTGTTAGTGAAAATAATTTAATATGATTTAAAATAAAACATCAACACTAAAACAGATTATATCATCAACTGTTTTTTAAAGAAATGTTTTTATTTCTTGCTGCTGTCTCTATGCAGAGAGGCCTTTGTACTACAGAACTATTTACAGCATCAACCCCACTGTGATGAACTACAACTGTCAGCTCTCAGCAAGCCAGTGATCTTTCACTCTTAGGTCGAAACAACAAGCTGCATCAGGAGATTATGGGTTTTATATTAAAGAATTGTAACGCAAGCAGTTTCTTAATGCAAACTTCTCCCTGATCTTTTTTTTTTAAATCATAAACTTTCCCCCTAGACTGGACTTTGATTGATGAACTCTACAATATGTAAGATGTTTTGCAAATTTGAATATGTTGGCAAATTCTAATAAGGACGCTGACGTTCTGCATTTACCTTGAGGCTATGAGAAATGTTTGTGAACAGCAAGTCATATTTTACTTGTTAATTCACTCAGCACTAGGTTATTAATGTATTAGTTGCATTTGTCTAATTCCTTTGAAAAACAACATGCAATTGGTTTAACTTTTCAAGAAATGCAGCTCCGGTTTCTCATTAGCACAATTTGTCTGCTCCTGTCCCTGTCAGAGCAAAGGATTGTTTTATGGTATTTGTCACAGAAGGTTTTAATGTGTAATATGCTGTTGGGTAGTAAATATTGAGGCTATATGCTGTAACAGTTAAACTGATGTCTGAGTACCTTTTGATATACATTTTAGCAACAAGGCGCAAGCTGAGTGTTTAAATTAAACTAATAACTCCAATAAAAACAAAAAGTAAGCACATATAAAAGAAATAAGTCCTATGGTAAATTTGTATTGGTTAGAAGCCAGGCCTTAGCATGTTCAGATCTGCAAGTTAGAAGATGAGAAAGCTCTGACAATACTGTTATTGACAAAAATGCGCAAAAAATGTTTTTGCATAAAAGGAAGTGCATAAAGCCACTTGATCGAGAATTTTGATCGTGGTGACTTCTTGTTTCCTACAGTACAAAAATGGGGAATTTTCAGCAGAGCCACCCCCTGAAATGAGAATACTTTAAAGTAGTTTAACCTCATCTGTTCCCATTTTCCATGATTAGCCATGGTTTTCTCCTCCTATTTCCTCTGCTGCTCGTTTCACCAGAGATGAGACGAAGTTCAGAGGAGTTCACGGACTTGTCTTTCCAAATTTCAACCCTGCTGCTTAAGTTAAATTTATCTGAATAAGAGAAGTTCCCGCATTATAATTTATGACGGAAACAAAGATTTTTGTCATAAATAAACTGAAGTATCTTACCACAAAGGCACAGTGTCAAGTTAGGTCAAAGACTTAACAAACATGTCTGATTTTCTCAATGTTCCAAAATGATAGACTTGTCAGTAGATTGGCAGTTTGTTTGCAGAAATGAAAGAAACTGCATTTGGCAGTCTGGAAGCAGTAGAAACACTGTTAATCACTGTTAAATTGAATATTCTAGGTTTGGGTGATAGCACTTTGAAAGCTCTGGCTGTCATCTTGAGGAAGAGTAATAATCTGGACTTACATGTTGATCTATTTTAGCATGTGGACTTGAATTTTTAACAGGTCTCTTCCTGTTAGCATTCTGCTTGGGATTTGTCTTTCTGAATGAATGTTTATATTTTGTAAGTATTGTACAATCATTAATCAGTAAGTGTTTATTTACTGTTATGGACTAACCAGCTCTTTAATATACTGGTAGCTTCCAGAAATTAGAAAATCAGATCCTCTCTTTTTATAATTAAGTTTATTTTTATTTTATATGCTTATTATTGGTTATTTAGTTTTGTTTTACAATTTTAGCTACTAGCTGTATATAAAGTTTTCTTACCCTGACAGCCGATACAAAATATATATGAAATTTGGTTAATACATGTATTTGCTGAGATAACATGATTTAATTCTGGAAGAAATCCTGTCCATTTTTATTTTCAGTTGGTTCTTCTTTCTTGTTGCCACCACATGCCATTTGTTGCCTAGAGACCAGCGTCCAATCACTGTGCCACGTTTACAAGAAGTATTTAGTACCTGGTGTTTCTCAGCAGCAGCAGTTAATTTTGTAATATTATATCTGAGTCTGCTAGTTTTACAATATGGTATCTCAGTAAGCAGTAAAAATAAAATAATTACAATTTTAAAACCTTAAAATCATAACATTTTAAATTGAATACAATCAAAAAAAAACAATGAGATGACCTTCTCATCTTAAAAGTATTGAGAACTGGTTTCAATCTAATTCTCTCACAATTAAATGTAACATAACTGTAACTATAAATAAATAGCTTTAATGTGTGCAACAAAAGAATATTTACTTTGAAACAAACATGAGAAGGTCATTCGTCTCACCATGCTCCTTTGTTTCCAAGTAGCTTATTGATCCACAAGTATTTGAAGGGTGCAGGATGCTGGCGTGAACATCATCGTGGGGCTTCCACAACCCTCTGTGTAAAGAAGTGATTCCTAAACTCAGTCTTAATGGTGCTCCCTCTTAGATTACAATCCAGCCCTCATTTCACTGTTGATCGTGAAGTAGGCTTCTGAGTTGAGTCCCCAGCAAGCAAACGGATGTAGTAACAACTAAAGACACCTTTGGAAAGTAAACTACATCATCTTGAGTGCTGTTTGAGCAGACACCAGAAACCGGTGGATTTTTTTTCAAAAGAAGCTCGGTTTAATCATTTCTCTACATCTTCTCTCAAATCTGTCTTGTACTGGTTTGAAAGAAAGGGCAAATTATTATTCAGGGAATAACGCCCAGTGCTCTCAAAATGAGCAAAGCAGGAGAGAGGAAAAAAATTATTCACGATTAGTGCTCTTAACTTAGGGCAGAATTTCTATTAGAAAGATCCTCTTTTGTCTCGTTATTACAAATAACAATTGATGACTCAAACAGCTGGGCCTTAGGCTTGTTTTGTTTCATTTTTCTGACATGTAAACTATAAGTGAATGGCTTGGAAAGGGAATAGTCCTATATTAAAATATAAAAAAGTCTCCCTCCTTTTCTGAATCATTTTTTCCTTTTTCATTTAAAATGTATCTATATCCATTAATTGCTTTCTTGAACTTAAGAAATCATTTTGAGATTTTTTTTATGTTTTTGAAGATTTATCAACCTAATTTCAAATGCTAATGTGACTCCCCTGTTTGACCCAAACTGTGCAATTAGCCAGAGAGCTGATGATGCCAACTATTTTTATGTGTATGTCACTGGTACTTGGGAGATGGCCTATTATGCCATATGTGGTTGGTTAATGAGGATTAGGGAGTGAAAATACTGTGTGTCAACAAATTAAGAAAAAAGCTTGTGGCAAGTCTTCTGTTTTCAAATCCTTCTTGTAGTTTTTTTAAACCATTGTCTAAACTGTGGATGACGGCTTCTCTTAAAGGCTCTGCTTTTAATTAGATAGAAAATACTTTATTAATCCCGTAGGGAAATTGATGTATTGATACCTTAGCTCCTTCTTCTATCACTCATTCCAATGTTACAGGGTTACGAGCATGTTAGTGACCATGAGTTCTGTTCCCAGAGTGCCAAGTCTACATCCTGGAGAGATACATACTGCCAGCTTCTCTGTCAAATAACTAATTTTGACATTTAAAAAGCGAAAAGAAAAAACCTTCATCAAGATTTATAATCACCTTAATTTTACTGCAAAGTCAAGTGATTGCTACACATCGGCGGCACTCTGCGCAGCATTTTAATTTTCATGTTGATGTCAGTGTAAAGCAATTTGCATACTGACTCAAAGAGGCAACTCAGACTGTCAGCAAACAAGATTTCTGAGGATGACTACAGACTGCAGCTAAATTGCTGTAATAAAGTAATTATTCTACTGCCATCAGAGGGTTGCTTAATAATCAATGTTTCATTGTAATTCTCTTTTTAAGAGATGGAATATTAATTTACCCTGCTGTTGTTGGGCATCAGACACAGGACTTGAGCTGCTGGTATTATTTGGTACAAATTATTGCTATAAAAGCAAGCCACAACAGTGTTACCAGATCATCTGTGTTCTCTGTTAGTGACGCTAACTGAACTACAGAGCAAATATTTGTATTTGGTGCTACAAGCAATGCAGAAAACAATTTAGGAGGACATTAACAATACAGTGGTGTTACAAGCATCATCTTGAGTTGACCTGTTTTCTGCCTGTTGACATGACCCAATGTGTACAGAGCTGGTGCAGATCCACCAGGTAGGTGGTGAGCTTCAGTGGTTGATGAAGTGGGCCCCCTCAAAGTTTTTAAAGCACTTTGGAAAGCCCTATGTAAATAATTATAGTGTAATAATTGTTTCCTCACCATAATTTTAATGTGTTGAGAGGGCTCAGAAAACTTTATAGGTAACATTTTGAATTTAACTTCCCAGGTTCCTGGTTATTTCCTACTATTATTTTATTTGTCTGACAGTTTTATCCACTTACATGTGCACCTTTTCACCCAGCTACAGTTTGTATTTTGCTGAAGTAATCTGAGCGCAGTACCTTGTTCAGTAAAACAACCACAGCTTCCAGCACAGGGTTTGAACCCACTACAATCCAGAGCCCCTGGGCCCTACTCCACAGTGCTGTTTGCAAAACCATCATTTGTATAGATACCTCTGGTTTTGTTTATTTAATGCAAGGTTTGTCTCTTGTATTTTGTTTGTGAATTCTTGTTTCTGAGACCAAGATAGGGTCTGATGTGCTCGCTTGTTCACAATACTGTATTTCTCTTAGCCTCCAAATGTGTTAAATTTGAGTGCAACAATATACTGCAGTATGATATTCTGTTAAGTTGAAATATTATGTCTCTTTATAAATCAACATCTGATTTTATACACTTTTGTTTGGACTTTTCCCAAAATTGTCCCAGATGGGGAAATTTGCTTTGCAGGCACGTAAAGACATAACGTATTATACAATACATTTAATGGCCATATCACATGAAATGATGCCTTTAACACACAATACGTTTAACAGATGTATGGTGAGAAAGAAACTAAATATAAAGTAAATATACAGTCAGTTGTCCCAATGGAGCAGGTTAATAGCTATGGGAATAAAAGATGTCCTCTTGCTGTTGAGTCTAAGCAGTCTAAATCAATGCCTTATATTTGCAAATTATATTTGCCTTTGGCCCCATTTGCTTCAGGTAGATGTCTGAAAGCTGCAGTTGTTGTATAGTACAAATTGCTCACCTTATCCCAGGTGCTCTGCTTCACATTCAGGTGTCTAGTGTCTGCGGTCAAGCAGGGCCAGGGCTACTTTCACATCCTACAGAAGGAGGCTCAGGATCTTCAGAAAGCTCATCTGGAGGAGCAGCAGAGACTTGCAGAGTTACGGCGCAGTGCATGCAAGCCCCCCTCATTCTCCACGGAGGAGGGCTCGGAGAGCGATGAGACCACAGAGGGGTAATCGGATCATTGCTGTTCATTTAGCTCCGTATTCTTTCGGTCCTCACACCACATAATTCTGTTTCCCCATTATAATTAATAATTGCCATTTTATGGCCAGTGAGTGTGTGCTGCAGATGATGATGAGTCGGTGAGCAACTGCGGTTGTTAAAATTTAATTTATCACAAGAAGGTCAGTAGATAATTTGGGTTTGCTCACAATTTGATGAAGATATTTTACTGTGGGCCAAAATTAAGTATTTTGTTAAGAATCCTTGGAACGTTTTGCTAAGATGAGCTTGTTACTCTATGAAATACTATCATGCTGAATTGAGTTGGTTTCATGTCTGCATGGGTTATTGGTAAAAACAGTAAAGGTCACATGGTAATTGATGCTGTATCAAAAAAACCACGTGAAGCTTTTTTTTTTTTTTACTGTGGTTAGCTTTTTCAGAACTGCATTGCCTGCAGAACACAGCCAGTTATACAAGAAACACGCACGGAGGGCTTCACCGGCACGACCTTTCACCCCACTGCACTGTTCACTAACATCTCCACAGCCATCTGAAGCATCACAGTGAGTGTGGGCCATTAACTTCCTTTCACTGTTAGTTTGAGGGGATGGTTTATTCTAGTGTGTAAGTCTCTGGCCTCATGATTGATGGGCTGTAGGTTCAAGTCTCCCGCTGTTATACCTAAAGTGCGGTACATTACATTTCTCCAGTTCACCCAGCTTTATAATGGGAACCACTGCTGCTGGGAATAATCTCTATAAAAGACCAGCATCCTATCCAGCAGGGGGTGTCAAAATGTCTTCTTTTTCCACTCCAACCTGCCTCATTCGTTTCTTTGTGTGTGTCTAGGTCATTGATTTGAAGTCAGATTTTGTAAATATAAATCAAGCACAAGTCAAATGACTGTCATAGGTTAATTTATGGCCTAAAGAGAGTTGCTTTCTGCAAATTCAGCCATTTTAGCCTTTAATTTGTTCTGTCGTCCCTTGCGAAATAATGGATGTTTAATGCAATATTTCCACGTTATTTTGAAATTTTACAGGGAGTGTGTTTTCATTGCAATACTTGCATGTTGTCAGTGGCTTTTTTGAGTACCATTCTGAATATTATCACCCACCCAGCTAGGATGTGAATCACCCTTATCTTTTAAAGCAGAAGAAATATTTAAAAGATGTAAATCTCTGAGCTCCAAGTTTATAAGTGTAGTCCTTATATAGTTTGCTTACATGAACCATATGTCATCTGGCCAACAATGGGCTTACAGTAAATGGCTCTTACAGTTTCCTTGATCTCCTGGCCACAAGCACACAGTAGCCACACAGATCAGGATCAAGAGTAAACAGAAATAAACCAAAAATATTTTGACCCTGCCGTGCTGCATCAAGGTAAAACAAATGTGTTAGGACCAGATGCAAAGAATTGGTTTTTAGCTTTTTAGTGTGATAGATGTTGTGAAAAGCACTGCTGCCCACAGCCTGTTCCTGGATTCAAATCTGGCCATGTGTATATCCTTCCTCTCGCAGGAAGGATATACACACGGTCATCTATTATTACATCTTAAGTCTGCAGGTCATATGGAGTTATTTGTTTGACAAAACGTTGATCAAAGCACGGCGAAACCATCCGAAATGAACTGTTCAGTGTTGAAGTGAAAGTGGTTCATGAATCCATACATTCCTGTTCACTCCACATTTCCTGGTAAGGGTCAGGGAGATGTTCATAGCTATACAGCTTTATTCCTCCTGACAAAAAAATGAATGTTTTATCTCCATGTAATGAAATCCTGTTGCCCTGGCAAGAAACAAGAAAATAACACCAATTTCAAAGGTCATTATCCGTGTTTTGATGGGTCTTAATCAGAAAGACTTTGCCTGCCTGCTTTGTAAGTGCTCAATTTGATATGAATAGCCATGCTGAACAGGAAGACGTAATTAGCATTTTAATGCTCCAGATAACTAAAGCCTGAGATGTGAAAGCTAATCGAGGAGAGTAATAGAGTAAATGCATTCACCACGGATCAACATGGATAGAAAATGTGTCACTTTGATTGATATCTCCTTGATGCTATTAAATGCAGAGGCTTTGGGGGCAAGCGTACATCTAAAGGTCAGAAGGTTACAACTCTACAGTGGAAAAAAGACTTAAGAATGCAGATATTTAAATAAACAGTTTCCATTTTCTGTTTTTTTCAGTAGCATTTGTTTTTTCATTTGTCCACAATACTGTATTTCTCTCAACCCAAGTCAATATGATGTACTATAGTAATGAGAATGATAACATACATCTCTTGATGCTCTTGGGCATATCATTGGTGATGTAACCTGGTGTCAAAAGGTGTTTCAGTTCTTCCATCACACATCCTCATCCAGGTGACCCTGAAAAGGCTTCATATAATATATTTTGTTAAGTTGAAACGTCTCTTTATAAATCAACATCTGATTTTATACACTTTTATTTGTACTTCTGCTTTCCACTCATTCTTCCTGTCAAAACAGCCTGACATTCACCTCCACAAGATGTTTTTTTTTCTTTTCATACATAAAAACAGAAAACCAAAAATAACTTGTCAGGATAAAAAAAATCAATAAGCGTTTGACTGCTGAGGTTTTGTCAGAATGAGGTTTCAGTGCTTCTGCAAGGAAACTATCATTTTAATTGCTTCCTATTTATAATCTAAGGTTTTGTCTATAAATGTATTGATTTATTTATTATAATAATTACCCAAGAAAGCCCCTAGGCTTTCCACTGTTTATAGCAGGGGATGGAGTTAAGTTGCCGTTAATGTGTCATTCCTGAGTGATTGGACGTTTCACCTTTATGATTGAAAAAGCTTTGTCTTGAATACCAAGGAAGCTCTATTACAAAAGGTAAATAAATGTTGATTTGTTTCCAGCTTTTCAAGTTCTTTTATTACAGGGAAACAATTTTTCGCCAGCTGTGTTGTCTAAATTGGCTTCTAGAAGCTTTGACGTTGGAGCCCTTGGGAAGAATGGGGCCTGTCTTTTCTTGCTGGGATATAAAGTAAGCAACAGATTTCTTTTTCTGTTTTGCTCAACCGGGGAAGTAAGAGCAGGTTATGTAAGTCAGGGCATGTCTTAAAATCCAAGTCTCATTGATTTGCACCTCGGAGGGAGCTTGTGGAAACCAAACTGAATTACCATTCTTGGAAATGTACAAAGAGCGACCTCACAGTGTGGGTACGTTAATGGGCCTCAAACAGTCCGAACTTTTAACCCTAGCTGCACACAGAAAGGTTGCATTCATATATATCGCATATTTATCTTCTCTATATGAAAATCTTGAAAATATCACAGCAGCATCAAGTATCACATTCTTGTTCCAGAGACCAGCTGGTTAGGTTTCCTCTAACCACAGTCCAACCGTGGGAATAGTGTCCTAAAGAGAAGGTGTTTGGCAAATACCAGAAACGCCCATACATTAACTGGAATGTCTATACAGGAACCGGCGCCATATCAAAGATACTATAGGAAGTATTTATATGACAGATGAAAAAATGTTTTAGACATACTGTATAATCTGTCCATTTCATTTAATCAATGGATTCCATATTAAGGTGAAATAACCTGGTATAGTACCTCTGTGAGCACTACTTAATTCTTTGCTGTATGCGAAAAATTAGAAATTCTGTGCATGCTGCAGATACCCCTGTACACACTTACCCACACATTGTTGAAAGCATGATCATGTGTTTTTAAAAAATTAAGGTTCTAGATAGATGTGCATGTTTCCTCTGAGTGGCAATAAAAGTGAGGTGCTTTCCTCTCATTGGGATTTTTTAAAGCACTTAACCAAAGAAAGTGCAAGTAACCAAAAATGCTTCTTAGGAAAACAAATTTCCAACATAACATGAGGCCCTAACACAATCTAACCAAGAGCTGTATAAAGAACCAGGTAAATTGCTTTTTAGTGTACTTACATTTTTGTGACTGCTAGTAAAGCAATCAAATCAATTGTAGAAATGAATTATTCAGTTTATATTCTGATGCCAGAAACGAATCCAGCTAACTACAACTTCAGAAATTTAATGTTCACCTTTTTGAAAGGGCAACCACACACATGGGGAAATAACAGTATTAAAATGAATTAGCGTTCTTCAAATGGAATAGGCATTAGAAAATCGTGGGAATAAAAAGCACATTTTTATTACACATTTTTTATTGCTGAGGTTGGGGAGGGGGTGGGGTGCGGCTTTGAAAGATGAAAAGTCAATGAGCTCCATATTACAGCCTAAAGCTTTTAATACAGTATTGCCTGCACAATATCCAATTTTCTATTAAATCTTTAAGGGAGAATATTCCTGGATTAGAGCTTGAAGATATTATTGAGAAATGTAAACCTTTATTACAGTATTATAGCTCTGATGTGGTTATAATAGTAGGTGTAAACCTACTTCTGCTTTTCTGCAGTGAATTATCATTTCTGTTTTGTTTCTTGCCCAAATGCTACCTTGTGGGCTACACGGCACTCTGTGAGAGGGACAGAAATAATTTACATGTCACTTTGGACTTATATTCTCATTATTTTCTTTACTTAGGGACCCTGGCAGAAGTAAGACGATGATAAAGACACTGAATAAAGAAAAGGCAATTGAGATCAAATGGGACCAGTTTATTACACAGTCAAAGGTACATTTTTTCTGCCTCTGAAATAAGATGAGCATTTTCCATCCTGTATGTATTCCTGTAGCTGTTTTACTAATTTACTAATAGAAAGAGGTATAATAAAAATTTCGGCTCTCACCTAAATGTTTTACGGTACCTCATAACTTGTCAGAATGTCAGTTTAGAATGTGTCCTTTTGCCTTCATGCTCAGAGTTTAGTCTTACATTATTTAAGCCCAATGTTGCTCATCTGTAAAATACACATTTACTTATCCTTTTACTTTTTACCTTGCTCGCTCTGCTCCATGTATGATGTTCAAAACAGGAGCAGCGCATATTCCCGATCTCTTTTCCTTAATAAGCTGTAAAAGTCACTCAGTTTCTATTGAGACCATTCTTTTAGTCCCTTCTGACCTTCAAAAACATTTTTTTAAACTGCATTGTGATAAAAGGGCATTTCATGATTGCAATGCAATCAGTAAAATGTTATGGTGCTCAAAAACATCCTTTTGAAACCCAAGCCTTTCTGTTCTGTGCCACATGGGGCTGAATTGACTCCACCTGCTTCTTAAATCCCTTGAAGTTCTTGCACGGAGTCAGCAGTTATTTGTGCATTGCACATCCATTTCTGTGGCTGCTTTAATTTACTTTAAGAGCCACCGTTTACATTAATTAAGCAGTAATTAAACAACTTAATTTAAACTTGATTTCCAAAAATCAAGGAAAGTGGCTTGGTAATAGGAAACAGTGTGTAATGAGCATTTCCTTTTACCAATTCCTTGGAAACAAAAGGATTAAATGCTGAAACGACAGTATCCTGTCCTTAATGTGGATGCGAAAAGATGAATTATATGCAAGAAATGCAAGAAATTGTATAGGGCTAATAAAGAAACATTATTAAAACCTGTCAGCTATAGAACACTGGATGCAAATTGGTTTTAACTGTGAGCATTAGACTGACATCCATGTCAGAAACATCGAGTCCTTAACAGGGTTAAAACATTGAGTGCCTACGAAGTCATGAAAAAAAAATTAATTAGCACCCTCTTTATTTTTAGTCCAAAAAGCCTCCCTCCCGGGTCCTTCGCAAGCTGTCTGTGAAGCCGAGGAAAACGTCATTCCTTGGCTCCTCGTGTCTGAGCGAGGTGTCGTCCGCTGTGACCCCTACGATGGGGAGCGCTTCATCGCTCGCCCCTGGCTCCGAGGACCTGGTTCTTATTTCAGGGGGCGTCGGTCATGCCGAGGAGAGCGAGTCTGCCGCCAAGGCTTCTGTGGCCCAAAGCAGGCAGGACAGCGAGGACAAGGAGCCCGTGTCAGACTGTAGGTGCAGCAGGGTCGCTCTCTCAATACTGCATGAGCCTGGAGACAGGCACCTCCCTCACTGAGCTCTCACCTCAATTTTCTTTACACAAAAGAGGTCAGCGGGAGGAAGGGTATACTGTATTAAAAAAATTCAAATAGCTCAGCTAATACTAGACACTGGAATTTCCCCTCCCTTGAAAGTGGGCTGTCTGAGTGCATCATGGCACGTGTTGATCACATCAGCGGCTCTGTTCCTGACTGGAACTTCAGCGCCTGCCCCACTTACAAAATCAGAACCCAATCTCTCAGTGCTGGCTCCTGTTGAACTAAAGTAAGAAGTCTCCGGCAACACATAAACTCACCATGGCTGCAGGAGAACATAATCTGTGTCTAGCTGAGGTGCAAAAAACAATAATAATGAGGGTGCAGATCATTTGTGTCAAAGTACAAAAAGCTATCTTTCTATTCTGTGCTCCAGCTTTCCATTGTAGCACCAGCCAAAAACAAGCTTTTACAATCATTAAATTACTTTATCTTTATGCGTCTCCTAATAGATATGTATGTATGGGTACAGGTGTGCAAGGTGACCTTCAGAGGTTGTTGTTTTTTTTTTTTTAACTGATGGACTCCGTCTCAGTTGGTTCCAGTCAGGTGAAGCAAAGAATGGGACCTCTCTGATTTCCGTCATGCTTTCATTTTGGATGCCAATGGATAGGAACATCCTTGCATGTGCCAAAGAGCAGAAGATGGTTGTCATAGGAACACTCTTCTGAAGCAGGCAAGGGGAGGCTTGGCCATGCGTTTATACAATGGGATGTATGGAACTGATGTGTGGCATTGTGGGTTTTTTTTAACTGCTGAATGTTGCACATGGGAAGAACTCAAGTGTATTTGTTGTTCCCCTCATCTAAAAATAGTGCTATACAGGCAAAAATATTTTTATATACCACTGCACACTAGGAAACGTTTATAAATAGAGGCTACCATTTGTCTGATGCAATAATGCGTCATTTTATATTCATTTTTCTGCATCCAGGAGTTACTGAATTTTAAAAGCAATATCTTTTTAATGAATTCATTATTTAAAGGATTAAAAGTATGTTGTGGTAAACATATTAGTATTTTTTAAAATTACTAAGGTTAATGCTGAAAATAAAGTGATTCAAATTTCACATGAATTTTCACTTAGTTGTTATAGTTAAAAGTAATCCAGTAGTTCTTCAATCATAAACAAACAAAATTGTAACTTTGGCATGGATAATGAACATGTATGTTTATCAACAAGAGGAAAACATTCACCTCAATTAGTCCATTTGGTAGTAACTGATTCACAGATCTTATCCAGCCATTTCTTAGATAGTCGAGTTATAGTCAGAGTTGAAAACAACCTCTCTACTATCGGTAATAGTTTTCAGTTAACAGATGAATATGTTTATAAATTGTAATGTTTTATATCCTCACTGTAAGATACTGTATATAGCACTGTTAAATAAAATTGTAATTATGATGATAATGTAATAATAATAATGTAGATGTACCTACATGCAGAACTGCATATAATTTTGGACTAAAGCAATATACTGCAGATGTGTACTGGATAAGGGGTTTGAAATTGTAAGCACTGACGTATTTGTAAGTAAGTACTTGATTAGAATTGCAGGATTAATCATGGTAGACATTTACTGGTGCCTAGATAATTAATTGCTCTTCATGCATTGACCATCAGAGGGCGCTGTTGTATTACTTTTCTTCAAAGATCGAGCTCGGAGCTTTGAAAGTGACAAAAGACGCAAGACGTATTAATACCATAATGAATGACAGTCATGGTTTAAATCAATTCTATTTTTTAATATAATTTTAAGAACGTGGGCATCTAAAGGAGATTGTTTTTGCGTGGCTGAAATAAAAGCCTCTGTAGAAAATAAGCGTCGTAAAATGTGGGTAGTTACACTGCATTACGTACTAATACAAGTATTGATTCTTTTTAATGAACATTGAAAGGGATTGTTTTATTCCAGACCTCCAAAAGCTGCTTGATGCTGTTCACCAGAGTGTGGCCAAGGAGTTGCACAACTCTGAACAGCACAGTGGGAATCCAAATGACAGGTAAGACTAGTTAAAATAGTAGAGGGTTTTTATGAAGCACACAAATTACTGCTCTATGCAGTTTTGCATTTGTATTACTTATACCAGGGGTTCCCAACCTTTTTTGTCAGCTGAACCCCTTCAACCTAAATTATTTGCCTCAAGTATCCCCTTGAGATTTTAACTAAATCAAACCTTTCAATAAATGTAGATCTGCTACAGCAACCCTCTTAACATGCTTCTTTTCACTTTCACTAAAATATTAATATTACTACTGTTGTTTTTCTTTTCTTATTGCATTATTTATTAATAGGACTATTTGATTTTACATTGACGATTCCATCACAATCTCACGAACCCCATGCAGTACCGTCCCGAAACCCTAGGGGTTCACGATCCCCTGGTGGGGAACCCCTGACTCATACCAAAGACTACAAATTCTTTGATTAATTTGTGTAACCTTAAGCTTGTCACAGGCCAAAGAAATCCCTGGAAGAGATGAGCAAAAAGAATCAGGACCTGAGACACATTCTCAAAGGCCTAAAAGGTATCCTCATTTTTACCAGTACAGAGCAATGCCTGTGCTGCTTTGTTCATTTCAATCGGTACTGAAGATAGATAACTGAAGTCAAAGTGAACCTTTAAAACGTCTTTCCTTCTTTTTTTCCCAAAATGTTTACAATTAAAATGTGTATGGTCTATATAGGTGTATAAAGTTTGCTTTAATAGGCCAACAGTCCTTTGTTCGATTCAAGCTAAGGATGAGAGAGGTGTGTATTTTATTTTAGAAACATGCAGTCGAATGATATGGATTTAAGATTTTATTTATTTTTGAAACTCTTAACAGAACTCTCAATCTCATTCCCCACATTTAGGCAGTGTGCTAATAAATACCTACCCTTCCAGTGCTCACACGTTTGCCTGGCTAAAATTGCTAAAACTAAATAAAAAATGGTAGGTGCGAATTTTAACTTCTTAGCGGCCGGAGAATATACAGTAAAGTGAACTGAAACATATATATATATATTCTTTTTTCACAAATACGCGGAGCTCCCCCATCCGACAGCTCTCTGCGACCAGTCAGTTCATCACCAGCAAGTCGTCAATGGCGTCTGAGATGAGAGCGAGGATCTTGGAGAGGGCTGAGGAAGTGGCCATGAGTCTAAATGACCATTTGGAAGCCAAAGCGAAGTACGTATCTCAGCATGTATACTCATGCGTAATAAGAAATGGAGTAATCACGACACCATCTTTCATCAATGGCCGACTTGATAAATGGTAAGAAATTTAGTGATGGGGTGGGTTTGACAAATGCTATTTATTTTAACACTGCCCTTTCCCAGACTATGCAAATATTTAAATCTACGTCTGAAATTGCGACTGCTACCCTGCCTTTACATTTGTAATCAATGTAATGAAACATCAGTGCTGTCTGTTTGTCTTGCAGGAGGCGCTGGGTCAACAGTGTCCACACGTTCCTGTCCTTGGCACACGTGTCAAGCGGTCGACGTGACCTCCATCGAATCGGAACTCCTGCAGAAGAAAAGGACATTGTGGAAAAGGAGGAGAAACCAACCCGTTGCACATGGTGAGAACTGGCACTTGACCATGCATTTTAGTTAATTAATTAAAAGAATACGTTAATAATAATTATAATAATTGCTTACACTTATATAGCGCTTTTCTGGACACTCCACTCAAAGCGCTTTACAGGTAATGGGGATCCCCTCCACCACCACCAATGTGCAGCCCCACCTGGATGATGCGATGGCAGCCATAGTGCGCCAGAACGCTCCCCACACATCAGCTCTCAGTGGGGAGGAGAGCAGAGTAATGTAGCCAGTTCATAGATGGGGATTATTAGGAGGCCATGATTGGTAAGGGCCAATTGGAAATTTGGCCAGGATGCCGGGGTTACACCCCTACTCTTTTCGAGAAGCACCCTGGGATTTTTAATGACCACAGAGAGTCAGGACCTCGGTTTTACGTCTCATCCGAAGGACAGCGCCTGTTTACAGTATAGTGTCCCCATCACTATACTGGGGCATTAGGACCCACATGGACCACAGGGTGAGCGCCCCCTGCTGGCCCCACTAACACCTCTTCCAGCAGCAACCTTAGTTTTTCCCAGGAGGTCTCCCATCCAGGTACTGACCAGGCTCACACCTGCTTAGCTTCAGTGGGTTGCCAGTTGTGAGTTGCAGGGTGATATGGCATTAATTCTGTGCATCTGTGTTGCTTTCATTGTTAAATTCTGGGCTTCAGTTGTCAGCTGTTTGTTTATAGGTTGTCCGAACTGCTGTCAAGCCTTCCTGAAGGTGTTCTGGAAAACAGAAAAATCTGCCGCATTTTGGAAAAACTGGCAAACTTTGCAGATGGGCCAAGTCTAAGGATCCGGCCTAACCAATTTCTCAGGGTTCTGGGCAGCCTGCGCACATGGGAGCTCTGTTCTCCAGATGTGTCTGTTGCTGTTGAGGTAACTAAACCCTTTCTCACCCAAACCTGTCTTCCTCCGAGTCACAAAAGCATGTAACGCTATTTTGGGGGCTGTGCTGAAACAGTGTCTTCATTGTGTATTCTTGCAAAACACTATTTCCTTAGCTTTAGTAAGATGTTGATTGAGAAGATAAAAGCAGACCAGTGTAAAAATGCATACGAATTACACGTCAAAAGTGTATTGCGTAGTTAATTGAATAGCTATAATTAAGAAGCTGGTTTTATTGTTTCATTGAATTTTCAATTGAATAAAGACCACATTCATTCCAAATACCAGTGTCACATTTCACACCCAGGCCTTGTTTGGCAGTTTTGTTTAAGATAGTTTGAATAATTCGCAGGAGAACAGAAAGATACTGTTTGCTGGCATATTTTGTTAGGAACAGGTGGATCCAAATTTGGATCTAATCCTGGCCTAAATCTTGATACATCTGTGCAGATTAATGCTAACATGACAGAACAAACGACGTTTTGTCCGCTTTGTTTGCAGATTGTGCGGAAGCACATCGTGCACATGTCAGAAGAAGACTACGAGGCGTGGCTGTGCCCTCGGGTCAAGGTGCCCCCAAGAGCTCAGAGTGCACCCCCCTCCAGTGAGGTGAACCCTCTCTTCAGGAGGAACTCGCACATTAGCAGCATTTTCCCAAGACCTGTAAATCTTTCCCTTTAGCACCTGCATTTGATATAACAGATTGCTGTCACCCAGGTCTGTTCCAAAGGTTCCCCAAACCATTAAACTTTAAAAATGACATCTAACATATTACCTACCTTCAGAATATTATGAATCCAAAAATACACCTACTGGATAATTTGTGAAAAGCACTTATTTGAATTGTCATACTAAAAGACCATTATTTTGCTTGGAAGTATAAATCTTCAGTGATACTGAGCCACAATATTATCAAAAAATTCAGCACCATTGTCAACAAATTCAGCACTACCATTTTTGGGAAACATACTAAGAGCAAAGTTTGCAGCTGGTTGAAGCAGTAGTCAGTTCCTGTAGATCTCATTGAATTCCATCACCAAGCTGTCTTGCTTGTGCCAATGATTGAGTGTTTGATTAACATATTTCTTAAAACCTGAAAGACCAAGATTCAGGATTTGGAGAAGTGAATAAGTACATAGAATTTTTATCCATGGGCTCTCAAACTCAGTTTCTGAAAGGCCTGCTCTTCCGCTTTTTGTTCCACCTGAGATCTCAGTTGCATAGCTGGTCTCAATGGAATTCTAACAAAGTTATAATGGGAATCCGGGAGGAATGGTAGATCTTAATCGTACGCACTTCAGTTCGCCTGCATATGCAAGTCTCGCAACCGTCACTTTGTGTATCGCATCTGGGCGGTGCGGTGGCTTTATGGCTAAGGATCTGCGCCTGTGGCTGGAAGGTTACCGGTTCGTATCCTGTGGCTGGCAGAGCAATCCTATTCTGTTGGGCCCCTGTGCAAGGCCCTTAACTCCAACTGCTCCTGGGGTGCCGTATAAATGGCTGACGCTGCGCTCTGACCCCAAGATTCTCTCTCTGTGTGTCTCATGGAGAGCAAGTTGGGGTATGCGAAAAGACTAATTCCTATTACAAGAAATTGATCATAGGAATAAAGTGATCTCATCTTATCTCTCTCAAATGCCTCCCACCACCCCATCTAAACTCCTGCAGCAGCTCCCTGGTTCATTCCTCTCAAGGACGAAGGGTCAGTGCAGCCTCACCATTAAAGTGAGGTAGTAGAATCTGCATATTTCATCTTTCTCTCTCACACATTTATTAGGATCTAACCAAACTTCAGAATTATTAAACTAGCTGCACTGTTGTAATACTTCTAACAAGACTGTGCGTTGATTCATAGAAACTTTTCCTTGTTAGTGCTTACAAGTGAATATCCTTTCTAATCAACTGTAAAATCCTTTGTCTCTAATGTAGAAAATCAGGTGAAATCTGTTATTGGCTTCTAAGTTTGTAACAAAAACTAGGAAACAGGATTTGAACTGTGGTTTGAGGCTCCTGGTCTAGGCTGGGGGTAAAGTGAAGGTTTAAACCAGATTTCCAGTTCACAGTAACCACAGTAAATCCTGTGGTTGGGCTGGAGTTTTAATTTAATTTAGTGTTAAGGCTGGACTTTGACCAGAGCCCCTCCAGGAATTTTGTTCTTATCAGTTTCCCCAGTGTTCCAGCTAATCTCATACAAAACACTGTACTTTAGTAGTTTGTGGGAGGATCCTGAACTGATGACATTCATTTGCATGAAAGATAAAGATCCCATTTATTAAGAAAATGTATTCAGACCCTTTGCTTAGGTTTAATTGCAGCAATACAAGGAAATAGAAAAATTCTGTGTCCATCCATCTTTCAGCTTTCTGGTAATACAGATAGATGTAGATTTCATGAGATGTTGAAAGGGATAACGGAAAATGCTTTACTTTTAACACCTAAGAAAATGAAAAATGAAAGGCTGGAAAAAAAAACAGTATATGTCTAACTGTATTGCATAGATTTCAGTAAATTGACTTTTCATTTGTGCCCTTTTGTATTATAACCACTACTGTGTGATTTTACAGCTGTCCATCTTATTGTGCTAATGTTGGTGGTCAGGTTCTAATCATGCCTGCCAACCTTAAAAATCAAAACCTCAATTCAAAATCAACTCTGCCTTTTGTATTTCAAGCTTCCACCCTTTTTTGTTCTACTTTTTCCAGATAATGTAGTGCCAGGTTAGTGGACCTGTGTAAGGGTATGGCTAAGGTCCAGCAGAGTGTCGCTTTGCCCCAGTGAGGAGCTGTCCCCTGAGAGGGAGGTGCAGGGCATAGTGTCAAAGTTCAAGGCTGCATGGAAGGGGGACAGCACTGTAAGAGGTTGTGGTAGTGTGAGGGAGAGGAGGCCAGCAGAGCTGAAGATTTGCTAAGGATGCGTTATGATAACCCGTTGAAGTGAAAAACACAGTCTGGAGGAGGGAGTGGTGTGTTGACTGACTTAAAATTAAACTACTGGTTTAGAGCAAGAAAAAAGGACATTTATTTTAATTAAATTTATACTGAAGCTTAGCATTATTTTCCACTTATGATGAAGCAGATGTTTTGTTTTTTTTAATATACAGTATATTCAATTTGGTCAGATTTTTTTCTTTAAGCATGCAAAAAGAACTTATCCTGAAGCCCAGGTACAACATTACCCCAGATGGGTGGCTTTTGATAGGACAGCTGTTCCATTCGGAGTCTGTTTTGGGATAATCACTGCACAGTGTCAGGAGAGCGTGCTCGGTTTATTTTCATAGTGATTGCTATTGTTACCAAAGCCTGCCTTCCGTAAAATGTTGTGAGCGCATCAGATCTAGGAACATGTACCAGTTACCCTTTGCCTTCAAACCTGTGATATTCACATCAAACGGATTTAGGTTAATCATGTTTATTCAGTACATTTGTGAGAGAATGTGCACAAAATTGTTTGTGGAAGGGTATTTTTATGTACCTTTTATAATGTAAAACTGTGTGCTTAGGTTTTGTTAAGTGGAAAGCAATGCTCTTTTGTACCTTTTATTTTTTCATAGTGTAAACAGTGAATGATTTGTTAGGGAAAATTCAATATTTACCCTTCAATTATAGTCGGGACATCCAATTCCAGGCTCTTATGTAAGCAACTTGACAATGCTATAGTCTGTTCCCTGTTTCTTAACAGTGGAAGTTGTGAAATCATGAAAAGCATATTTTTAATGATGCATACTTTTTTTAAAAAGTATTTTTTTAATGTTTTACTTAATTACATCTATAATGTCTTGACACCTAAGTTTTTTCTTATACTGTATATTAATATGGCTATTGTTGGACCGCTGATAATCCTGTTTGTATTTCATATCTGTTGTCCAAGTAAATGAATGTGGATAAAATGAGCAGTCTAGTCAAGCCCTTTAGTTTTTTTTTTTGTCACAATTACAAACCTTGACATCATCTGAAACGTAGATACTTAAAGAACCTGAGCTCTGAAAAAGATTGTAAATGTCTGCTGGAGTATTGTGATACGTGACAAACACTTAAAAGTGCAGTTGTTTTTTTTTTATATAGCCAACTTGGCCTTTACCCTTAAGCTTCCCAAAACTGATAAGAGCTCAAGGTTACAGTTGTGAGAAACAGGCATGACCAGTTTACCGGGACCTGGCTCTGCTTTATCAGTTTATTCAGAATAAAGTGCCCTAGTGTGTACTCAGGGGCACATGTGGGCTGAATGTTTTTTTTTTCCAGTGCACTGCAAAACACCAACAATAAGTCCTCTTATTTATCCATTTGAGCAAACGGAATGGGGCACATGTCAGAATAACAAAAGCATTGAACTATTTTTTTTATATGATTATCCTAGCAAATGTAGAAATGCGTTAATAATTTATACTGTAAAGTGGTGTGCATAGAAAAGCAAATTACTTCTGGCATCATTTGAGTCTGTGAGGACTACAAATTTTGGGTGAGCATAACCCACAACAGAAGTTCAAGTAGATACAGTAGCTGCATCAGGATGAGTAGGCTGCAAAGGAACATGTAAAGGTTTATTGATTCCATGCTGAAAAGAGACAACATTTAGGGTGTGGAGCCTTCTTCAGGTGTGATGCTTCAGGTGAAGAAGGCCCCACAGCCTAAACGTTGTCTCTTTTCTCTTCCTTTTAGCATGGAATAAACCTTTACCTGTTCCATTATAACCTACAACATAGTCATTTGCTTAAATGAAGTGTGTACAGACTGCATGCGTGTCTACAGAATTTGAATAATGCACGCAAGTCAAAACTGTTGGATCTTCCTTTCCAAAGGGCAGAAATTAAACCATTAGTGAGCAAATAAAATAGCTGCCAGTTAGGCTTTCTGATAGGAATAGTCAAGAAACTTATTCTACATGTTCACTTTGGACTTTTGTTATGCTTTAATTGACTGTACTCAGCTAAGGTGTCATTACTCACTGGGTATTATTGCTGTATAACAAAATCACCTCCTTTAAGTAGACCCTGCTGTTCCCAGCCAATATGGGAATGTCTGTATAGGACCGTAAATACTGTAAACTGTAAATATAATGAAAACAACATTCTTTTTACTTTAGTCTGCAGCCCATCACATCAAACTGTAGCGTGATATTAAGAAGGTCCCAGAGTTTGCTTTGAATATGAGGCTTTGCTAACTATCTGGGTTGATAAATTGCCCGTCTGTAAAACAATGTTTAATATTGTAGAACCTGACCAAGTCAGCCAATCAGATTTCATGTTTGATATCTGCTTAGTAGTGTGTTAATGCCTTTATGATCTTTTGAACTGGTTAGTTTAATTGATGGTTTAATTAAACTGAACATTAATTGAACTGGTTAGTTTAATTGAAGGTTTAATTTCCTTATTCCGGCAATATCTCTAAATAAACAGCAGTTAAAGTGAAGATACTCGAGTGAATAACAGACATTTACCTCACAGTATATTTCCATATCTGTTACTAGCAGCTCAGGTTTTTTTAGGTTGCCAAACAAATTATGATAATTAAAGAAAGATGAGAGCCAGCTTCCTCCCCTTGATCTAGCCCTTTTTGTATGGCATCACTTGCTCAACAACATGCATGTTTGCAAGTATAATGGGTTGAGACTGCAGTGCAAGTGGGATTCTTTTAAGATTTAATCAAAGGTGAATGGTAAAGTCTTGTCGGGAGATGCAATTTCCAGACCTTCAGAGATTCCTAATGTGAAGGTCAAACGCCCATGCTAAAACCATTTTATTGTCTTTACAAATAGATCATGTTTAGCTCACTGTCAGGCTCTCATGCCTGCATTATTAATTAAAGAGATTAAAAATTGTATCATCCATGTTCTGTTTATTACACTGTCTCTTTAGTATGCCAGAATCTTGTTTTCATTACTGCAAGTGTGGGCATGTATAGAGAACCTATGTTTCTTTAACATTCGGCTGAACCGAAAACCTGGAGAGACAATTCCTGGGAAACCCACAAAATGTTCTAACGCTTGATTGTGTTGAACATGCCTTCTCCATTCCCTACCTGAGTCTAGAGAGGATATCTGAATTATTATCCTAGACATTCCTTTGTGTTGTGTAGCAGGACATTTAGAATGGACAATGACAGCAATAAATTCTGAACTGCAAATGTAAAACCCCTTAGTGTGGTACTATATATGTGTGTGAGTAATTTGGGATGTGAATAGAAATGACTAAAAAAAAAAAAACTGCAAGCACTTCTGCCTAGAAAAGTTTTCACATTAGTGCAAAAAAAAATAGTGTTTAATTATCATGCAGTGTCGAGCATTTTAAGTCTCTGCTTGAATATTCCAAGACAGACACAGCTCCTGTCCTGTTAGGGATACAAACAGAAATGGAAGAAGCAATGATCACTTCACAGAGCCAGCTGGAAGGGCAGTGGCTGATAATACCTAGAGATATAGTTGAATACTGAGGGTTAAAGT